CACCCAGAGCTACCCAACAGACTCCTATGGGATTCTCGAATTCCAGGGCGGGGGCTACTCTAATAAAGCCATGGTAAGAGGGGTGATGGGACACTGTGCACAGGGACCCCCACTTCACCAGAGCCTGTCTCCTGGCCCCCAGGATGCAGAGACCTGGGTCTTCCTCGGGCTTACAGCTAAACCTTCATAGGCACATTACTGCAAGCCCATGAGGTGAATCTGCGCGGATGGATTTTACATCACTGTAAAGTACACGCAGCCTCCATGAATCCACTCCAAGCTCTAAACCACAAGGCACACCCTAGCCCAACCTTGCACACACTCTCTATTGCCCCACCCTGGTGTCCTCCGGTGCTTTCTATTGCTATGATAAACACTGTGGCCAAAAGGAATGAGGAGAAAGGGGTTTATTTCATCTTATGTTTCCAGGTAGCATTTCATCACTGAGGGAACTCAAGGCAGAAACCTGGAGGCAGGAACGGAAGCAGAGACCATGGAGAAGTGCTGCTCACTGGCTTTCTCCTCATGGCTTGCTTAGCCTCCTTTCTTATACACCCCAGGACCACCTGCCCAGGGCTGGCATCACCCACAGTGCACTAGGCCCTCCCACATCAATCATTAATCAAGAAAACGCTCTACAAACTTGCCTACAGGCCAGTCTGATAAAAGCATCTTCTCAGTTGAGGTTCCCTCTTTCCAGATGACCCTGGCTTATGTCGAGTTAACAAAAACAAACAAACAAAACAAAAAACAACAACAAAATAAAACAAACAAACAAACCCCCCCCAAAAAAGGTACACCTAGTGATAAGAAAGTTCTTTAAAACAGTAATAATAACCGTGGACTTGCCACCGTCCTTGGCGCATAGGAGAGCCTCTACAAGCATTTCCCTCTGAAGTCAGCTTCCCTGTGTCTTCTCTTCTCAGCTAGCAAGAGGAGAGGAACAGTCCCTCACAGTTTGCTGTAGATAGGGAATACTAGCTCCCTTTCTGGTGGGCCCTGCAGTGAGGGGAGGTGCCAGCCCACAATGCCATGCTGCTGATTCTCAATGCTATTTTTGCAATTTCATTTCCTTGGTCCAACATTATTATTCAAATAAAACTCAGTTATGTTCCAAATACCACAACACAAAAATTTTCTGGAATGCACTCTATGTATTAGCATGGACACAAAAAGGCAACACACAGGGACTATGACCCCTGACCGTTAATTTCTTTTTTCACCCTGAGGAGAAGAAGGCTAGTCCACATGTGGGCTCATGACCCTTTCCTGTTCATTCAATGACAGCATTGCCCGACATCCTGGACCATTGTTAGCTGGGCCAACTGGAAATTGATTCTTTCAAGGTTAAGTTTGCAAACAAGTATAAGACACTCAGATGTGTTGACTGTCAGACAAAAGAAGACATAATTTTTAGTACAGTTCCGTACCAACTCTTACATGTGATGTGTTACTTTGTGTAAAGATACTGTGCTGAATCATTTAAAATATTCATTTTTAAACCATTTAAAAATCCAAATTTAGACAGGCACATTAGCTTGGTCAGCGGATACTACAACACTTTAGATGGGGGGAATTTATAAACAGAAATGTACTTTGCAGTTTTAGAGGCTAGGACGTCTGCAGCCAAGGTCCCAGTTCATCCAGTTTTGCCCCTTGTTTAATAAATGACGCCTTCTTGCTGTGTGTTCGCATACAGGACGAATGAGTCAACTCCATGGGCCTCTGGAACACTGTCCCTTATCTAGCCCTTACCACTGCTGCACTGGGATAGAGTTTTAGCATGTGGCTGTCAGGGTAACACAAACATTTGGGTCATAGCCCTGGTGTCCTGTGTTTTCCCTTGCTAAATCTGGCCATCTTTCCCCCCAAGTTCCCTTTAGTCACTTGGCTAAAGATTAATGCAGATGGCCCAGGTCACAGAGGGCCTCAAGGCCCTGAGGGAGCTCTTGCTTGAACATGTGTGGTACTCATGGTCCCCTCTAACAGGAGAAACAAAACCAAGAGCAGGCGCTGAGCACCGTGCATTCTTTTGCAGTATATCCGCGTTTCCTACGATACCAAGCCAGACTCCTTGCTCCATCTCATGGTGAAAGATTGGCAGCTGGAGCTCCCCAAGCTTTTGATATCCGTGCATGGAGGCCTCCAGAGCTTTGAGATGCAGCCCAAGCTGAAGCAGGTGTTTGGAAAAGGCCTGATCAAAGCTGCCATGACCACAGGGGCCTGGATTTTCACGGGGGGTGTGAGCACCGGTAAGAGGGGCCCCACCCTTGCTGTGAATCTACACACCTGGAACTCAACTGAGGTTGCAGAGGGGCTCCTAGTAAGAATGGCCAGGAGACTGGACACATGGACTCCTGATCCCCGCTGTAACAAGAATGGAACCTTTACTCAGCAGGGTTTTATTGTTGTTGTGGCTGATCCGTTTAAATAGTCTAAACATAGTTTTGTTAGGTGGCTTTCCAGCACCCAACAGACACCTGAGAGAATCAGCTTATAAAGGGAAGAGGTTTGCTCTGGCTCCCAGTGTTAAAGGTTTCAGCCTGTGGTCAGTTGGCCCCACTGCTTTGGACCTGTGGCAGAACCTCATGGTGGGAGCACGTAGTAAAGGAAAACAGAGAGCGTGGCTGGAGCTGCCAGCTCTGCAAGGGCATACCCAGTGACCCACCAACCACGTGCTGGGTCCTTTCTCTTATGGTTCCCACCGCCTCCCAACAGTCGCCAGCTGGACACTAGGCATCCAACATGGGGCTTTGGGGGACATTTGAGGTCTAAACCTCAGTGAGAACCACAGTGGTGGCAGTGAACATCTGAGGCTCTCAGTCTGTGCCATCCTCTGAGCATAGCCATGGACAAGTGTCCTTGTCCATGAGCCAATCAATATGCACTGTTTCCATGTTTTGTGGGAAAATAAACTGAAAATATATGAGTTAAGGAATGTGACTGGTGGTCTGTCTCCTGTTGTTAGCAGAATGTAGCCAAGGACTACGGATGAGATTTCAGTGACTTCCAGCTTTGGGTCATAGAAATCTGTAGAGGAACTCCTTGCCCAGCTGTTTTGGGGTCTGCTCTTATTTCTCTACTTCAGGTGTTAACACAGGATCAGTGGTTACGATGAACAAGGACCTGTGTGGGATGTATTCTCTTCGTGAAGAGAATAGGTTTCACCCCTGATCCACAGGGATTATGGAGGCTCAGAGCAGGCGCCCCTGAAGTTTGTCAGTGGTGATGTGATGTGGCATAGAAGGGCCTGAAATGTGGCTTATGGCTGCTCGCAGGTGTCGTCAGCCATGTGGGAGATGCCTTGAAAGACCATTCCTCCAAGTCTAGAGGCCGGCTCTGTGCTATAGGAATCGCTCCGTGGGGCATGGTGGAGAACAAGGAAGACCTGGTTGGGAAAGACGTAAGTTTTCTCTGAGGACATTGACAACTTTTAAAAATTTAACTCTGTATTTTGAGATCATTGTAAATTCATATGTTGTTGTAAGAAATTCACTCATCCCTCTGGTGGAAGCTTCTTGCAAAATGATGGTACAATCAAAATGTTGACATTGATACCATCAAGACACAGAACATGGCCATCAACCCAAGGAAGCCCCCTGTCTCCTTAAATATCTATACCAATTTCCTCCCATCTCTGCTTCCACTTTAACCCTGACAATCACCAATGTGTTACATATCTCTATAATGTTTTTGTTACTTTCAGGGTATGAAATCATATAATATGCAACCTTATAGGGATGGGTTTTTCCAGCCAATGTCACTCTCAGGACACTCAGATTGCCATGTGTCCCTTCCCACTGATGAATGGTGTTGTCTTCTGTGATCTGGATATACTACTACAGACTGTTTAACCACTGTCTCTTGAAGAACATCTCACACAGTTTATAGCTGTCCTATTAAAAATAAAGTCGCTATAAAATGTGTGCTCAGAGGACTGGGGAGACAGCTCAGTGTGGGTAAAATGCTTGTTGAACAAGCATAAGGACTTGAGTTTGGATTCGTAACACTCACATATAAAGCCAGGTTTGATAGCTTGTGACTGTAATCCCAGTGCTGGAAATGAAGTCAGGGTTCTGGGGGCTCAGTGTCTGCCGGCCTAGCAAGTCAGTCAGCTCCACGTTTAATGAGAGAGGCCTTGTCTTAAAAAATAAGGTGGAGAGCAATTGAGGCAGATGCTCAGGTTGACCCCCCCCACACACACACTCATACACACTCACATATTTATGTACATACACCACCCACACCCACATATATCTATGTATATACACCACACATACACACATAGAGGCACACACAGAGACATTAATGTGTGCTCAAGATTTTGTGTTACTGCCAATTTTCATTTCTCTGCAATAAATAAGTGTTCAATTATTGGGTTGCCATTATCTAAAGCGGCAGTTCTCAACCTGTGGGTTGCGACCCCTTTGAGTCGGTTTGTAACAATGAAAATACACCCTACGTATCAGATATTTACATTTCGATTCATAACAGGAGTGAAATTACAGTTACTAAGTGGCAACGAAAATAATTGTATGGTTGGGGGGTTACTACAACATGAGGAACTGTATTAAGGGATCACAGCATTAGGAAGGTTGAGAGCCTCCGCTGGAGCAAACAAGTTTCTTTCTGTCTTAACACACTGATTGAGAAAACAGCCTTCAGTGTGGACGGTAGAGAAACGAGACTAAGTGTACATGTGGTCCACATGTGGTCCATGTACACAGTGCTTGAGTGCCCTGTGACTCTTAATACCTAAGTCCTACAGCTTGGATTTGCATCGTGTTTTTTGTTAGGTAACGAGAGTCTACCAGACCATGTCCAACCCTCTGAGCAAGCTCTCGGTGCTCAACAATTCCCACACTCACTTCATCCTGGCTGACAACGGCACCCTGGGCAAGTATGGTGCTGAGGTGAAGCTTCGAAGGCAGCTGGAGAAACACATCTCCCTCCAGAAGATCAACACAAGTAAGTCCCAGGAGGCTGGGGACTGGCTCCACCGGAGTGGATGCCCGCTGAGAAGGAAGTTACTCAAGGATGCTGAGAGTCTTGATTCTTGCCAGGTCCACGGAACATGGTCAGACCCTTTGCCCTAGCCACCTATCATTGTCTTCACACAGCAGCCATGTGACGCTTTGCCCAAGTTCACAAGTTGGTCTGAGAAATACCCCTGCACTGTTGGTCACGGTGAGGGCACTGCCCATCATCTTGTCCTCATTCTTGTTTACTGTAGTTAGGGCTGTTTGTTTTTCTTTAATGTTTTATCGGAAAAAAATTGCTCTCCAAAGACTTAGTATGATTCATCTTATGAACGGATAAGTGTTGTAGGGTCATTAAACATCTCTGTAGGTCTGAGTCTCTCTCAGAAAGGACTGGCTCCAACCAGACGAAAGGATGAGAGCTTGTTAAAACAAAGGGAGCTGGCATAACCTCCTGGGACACGGCCACATGCAAAAACTCTGTCAAACAATTATTAAATCATCTCACAGAATATTTTATTCTTAACATCACCAGTAATATCTTTGTGCACGACAATCTAGGCCTGGGAAATGGTCATAATGTAAGGAAGTGGTTAGGATTAGGGTGGCCTCCATGAAAGGCTATGGATTGCCAAGAACCAGTCAAAAAATATTTCCATCAATTCTTGGAGAATGTCATACAGTTTATTTCTTTTTGTACACACACACACACACACACACACACACACACACACACACACCCCACTTCTCCCAGATCTACCCTTACCTCCCTACCCACTGAACTCATGCCCTCTTTTTAAAAACAACTCATTGTGTCCTACTGTGCTGACCGTGCACTTACAGGCGTGGGACCATCCACTGGAGTATGGTCAACCAACGGGGGGTGGGGGTGGGGGTGGGCACACTCTTAAAGAGAGCTGACTTCCTTCTCACAGAAACCATGCACTTGTCAACCCCTCCCCACTTCCATGCTGAAATGCGGACTGGCTTGATCTGGCGCAGCCAGCCTCACTGCTGTGAGTACAGAGTGGTCCTAAGAATCAGCTCTTGATAAATCTGTTGCATTTGGTTTACACTTTAATTGTTTTGGACTTGTGAGTTCTTCCTGGACCTGTGACTTGTGGGCTTCCCTTTGTCATCCTTTGCCTAGGCCTCTGAGTGGGGCAAGGACAGCAAAGGGGGGCTCAGTGGTCACCTCTACTCCAGAGAGCTCTGGGAGCCTGAGCCAAGAACAAGTTCACCTCTGCTTCCAGAGACGAAGTCACCACGTTCCTAAAGATGTAAGATCCCAAGCCTGCTTGGATGGGAATGTCAAAGACTGAAGCAACGCCATTTTGATCCATTTCTTGTTCATGGCCATGAAGCCCATGTTTTACCTTCAATGCTTGTTTGCTGAAATAAACCTAACTGGAATTCTTTCAGCAACAGATAACAAAGCTGTTCTAAATACTTAAGTATCAACTCAGGAAAGCATAGCAGGAGGAAGCCAGAGACTCTGAATTCCCTCACTGAGATTCTCTTCTTCTTATAAGGTTTCTTATAACCTGTGTTGGCAGATTTCATCCGAAGCTCTTGAGAACCGTGAGGTCAAGGGCATTTTCCCTATTTGTCACTTGTAATGTTGATCAGAACTATGGAAACCTAGCAGAACCTGACCAGCAAACAGTGACCCTGAATCCTAACAGGGTCTAAAGCCCAGAACTTCACTGGCCACAGATGGAAAGCATTCAGGAGAGAAATTTAGTCTTTAATTAATGTGGACAGCTTTTTTCCTAGTCATTATCCCTAAACAACATAGTATAATAACTACTATTGCTATTGCATCATTCAGGTATTATAAGTCCTCTAGAGGTGGTTTGAAGCACACGGGAGAATGTAAATGCAGATAATACACCATTTTATATAAGAGACTTGAGCATCTTGAATTTGGTACCCAGGGGGATAGTGTGATGTCCTGGAACTAATCCCCGGTAGATACCAAAGAACAATTACGTAACATGTCCTGGCCAGGCAGGGCTGACATTTCCAGGTAGGCAAATTTGTCGTGAAGAGTTCTCTCCCACTCTCCTCTCAGTATGATCCCGGCTTCCCAGAATTCTCCTATCACCCCCTACTTCCTAGAGCCTACCCTACTGGATCTATCACCAAACCTTTCTCTATTTCTACTGTGTTCTTGAAGAGCCCAATTATTTACTTATTTTAAAGCAGAGGCAGACCCTGGAAATAAGTCATTAAAAATGGGCTAATAATGGTCCATGTTTTCAACCCTAAGATAATATACTGGGGCCAGAAGTGTTTCAGACTTCAGAGTTGATGAAATTTTGTCATATTTGCATAACATTTACAAATGATTGTCTCTAATCAAAAATATATTGATACCTAAAATGCTTTCAGTTTTGGAGTTCAGATATTTAGATTGGGCATGCTTAACCTGTACTGTCTTATTCCAGGCTCTGGTGACAGTAACCAGAGCATATTGCTCCACGTGTATGCCTCTTCAAGGTCCCAAACGCAAATGTGTTCTTATATTCCAGATCCATTGCTCTTCATGAGTCAAGTAGGGCATCGTTCCTTTTACAATTGCTCATCTGTGAGATGGTGCTTTGAGCATTGGTTCGGCATTGTGATGCCAGTACCGGAGATGCCCTGGACTGACCTAGCTCCCCTCTAGCTGCCCAGCCCTCCTTACCCTGGATCATTCTTAGAAGACAGCCTCCAGCGTGGGCATTTCACCCCCAGGCAAGGCAGAAGAGGAGCACTCTTATCAATGACTCTTAAAACTCACTCCCAGGTGTTCCTGTGTCAGGTTCTTTACAGGAGTTAGGTCACACGGGAGTGTCGGGGAGCTCACGAGTTTTGAGGTTCTGGAGTTTACAGTGAGGCCGTGATATGAAGTTCAAATGCAAGAATGAACACAGTCACGCTTCCTCTGACTTAGTTCGCCAGTTGGTCCAGCTGTTGGTCAGCACTAACGCCACAGGGGGAGCCCTGGGGCAGGAAGTGTGTGCTTTTTTGCTGTCTTGGCGCTTAGGACAAGTTGGTGATGTTCAAGCTGGCTTGTGTGGTTGTGTCGCAGGGCTGGGCCAGGGTGTGCCTGTCGTGGGCCTCGTGGTGGAGGGCGGCCCCAATGTGGTTTCTGTTGTCCTGGAATACCTCAGAGAAGACCCTCCTGTCCCCGTGGTGGTTTGCGACGGCAGCGGACGCGCCTCCGACATTTTGTCCTTTGCACACAAATACTGCGAAGAAGGAGGGTAAGAGTGGCATGTGATGCGGGCAAGCTCTTAATGCTTTCTGTTAGGCTGAGGGGACATCTGACTTGATCCGCTCAGACATCTCAGAAATGTCTAACTCATAAGGAGTTTTCTTGATCTCCTCTCCAGTTCCCAAGGTCAGTGTGAGAGCTCCTGGGAGCTCATGTTCCTGACCGAATCCTCTCTGCCGAATCCTCTCTCTTGCACCTTTGTTTTCCCTTATAAGTCTCTCAAAGAGCTAAACTGAGGCCACTTTTTAATGTTGCTTTTAGGCCAGGGTGACTTTTTGTCTCCTGTACACAAAACTCTTCCATTAGCGGTCACAAATCAAAAACATTTGGGTGGGCAAAGCTGTCTGGTTTACGCGGGAATTGCCCTAATTCCCTCGCTTCCTTCTCTCTCCGTCTCCCTTTGAACAGAATCATAAACGAGTCCCTGCGGGACCAGCTCCTAGTCACCATTCAGAAAACATTTAATTACAGCAAGTCACAATCACATCAGCTGTTTGCAATTATCATGGAGTGCATGAAGAAGAAAGAACTCGTGAGTATCTTGAATTTATTTCCGACCACATTCCATGGAGAGAGCTGTTTCCTTGTCTGGCTCTGCCATACATGCTCCAGGAACTTCTGCATACTTCAGTTGACCTCCCCAAAAGGCAACTTAGAAACTCATTCCCAACTAGCTGCCTGTGTGCACTGCGGGAGGGGAACAAGCCCACAGAGAGTCCCAGGTGTTCCCAGACCTTAGCAAACGTGAGGTGATGTCATACCATGTCTCTCCACTCAGAGATGCAAAACGTAAATCAGACTTAAAATCCCTGGGAACAGAGACACGCCGCGACAGCCCTTTAGAGGCGGTTGCCAAGTCAAATTCGCTTCCCTTTGCAAATGCGGGGCTCATTTCTCGTTCCTTCCTGCAGCTGTCTTCATGGGGCCCTGGCACCCCTCATTCACTTATGACGACAGAATCAAAGTTCTAAACTCGCAAATGCCCTGTTAACATATTCCTTCTGATTAGACGCGTGTTCACCAGCTCAGTTGGCTATTTAGATATTGGAGGAAAGATCCTGGGTCAGCACCCTCCTCCCAAGGTGGGATAAAGAATAAACTCCAAGTCCAGGCAAGGATTCCATAGCAAGAATAACACGGAAACTCCCGGAGACTGAAAACTCTTGTGAATGTCTGACCAGCTCTCTGGCTCACTGCATCACTCTTTGTGTTCAGTTTAAAAACAAACAAACAAACAAACAAACAAACAAACAAACAAACAAACAACAAACCAGCTCAATTCTTCCTCTTGGTTTCAATGTTGCCTTGATTCTGTCTTTCCCCCATTCACCTGTTCCCAGGTCACTGTGTTTCGGATGGGTGCTGAGGGTCAGCAAGATGTTGAGATGGCCATTTTAACTGCCCTGCTGAAAGGTGAGCTTCTGGGAAGTAGCGATTCTGTCTTTTGTCTCCTCAGAGCTCCCTGGCAAGGGCTTTGCCAGTAGCAAGTGCTCCTTTGCTTCCTTCCCATCCTACCAAGGACTTTGGGTAAAAGAACCCTGAGCCAGCCGGGTTGCCTGGGGTGACCTCAGCGTGAAATGCTGGAATGACCAGACTCTGAGAGAGCTTTTTGTGGAACGGGGTTGATGGGACCCCTGGATGTCACCGACTTGTCAGAGCTTTTTCTATCCATAGCTGTCCTATGTAAGTCTGACTCCTGAACACTGCACCCACCTCTAATGACAGGCTGTGATCAGGAGCTTATGATACGGTGGGGTCTCCCTGCGGGAAGTGCATTTCCGCCCTGCCTCTCAGCTAGTCTGGGGCCACAGTGACAAGAGGAGGGTCACTACAGACTTGATGCTGCCCTGTGCTCTGTGCTGCTTCGGGGCCTATGGTCCTCGGCCCAGCCTGGCAGATGTCAGGCTGTTTCAGATTTCTCTCCTTTTCAGATGAGAAAAGAACGAATTGAATTGGTAGGTTCTCCTCCATCCCTTCCAGGAAACTATGCCCAGTTGGCTTGGGATGAAATTGCCTCTGGCTTCCTCTCAGGAAACCTCAAAAAAAAAAAATCAGAGTTCTTAGCTTTGGTGGGCATTTGGGACAAGAAAGGAGGAAGTAGCAGGTGCTTAGTTCCAAACCAGTTCCCCTGGGAAGCCCAAGTTCCCGCCCCAGAACGTGCCAAACTCAGGTGGTCCAGACACAAGTGAGGACACTCTCACTTCTTCCTTTCCCAGGAACCAACGCGTCGGCTCCAGATCAGCTGAGCTTGGCACTGGCTTGGAACCGAGTTGACATAGCACGAAGCCAGATCTTCGTCTTTGGCCCACACTGGCCGGTAAAACGTTTTTTTGTTTTTTGTTTTTTTTTTTCTGTTGCTTTTGTTTTTGTTTTTCTGGAGACAGGGTCTCGTATAGTCCAGGCTGGCCAAGAAGGTGCTATGGAGGCAAGACAGGTCTTGAACTCCTGACCTTCCAGCCTTCACCTCCCAAGTGCTGAGGTGAAAGACCATCGCCACTATGCCTGGTGGAACGGTTTTCTGTTTAGAATGTTTACGTGACTTGGCATGGTGCTATGTTAGTGTGTCCTTGATCATGACATGGATCTTGGGTTCTGATCTGGGTAATCCATGAGATTACTGGAAGATGTTGCTGTTTAACTTCAAAGAAACCAAAGAAACAAAGGCTCCAGTACTGATTCCTCACTGAGCGGGTCTGCCCGAGGAAACTAATCACCAAACCTTTCATCATTGCTGGTAAAAGAGGGTTTTACTCTTTGAAAGAAGAAAATCGATCATTAAAATTAACCACAGTGTTTCCTTCCAGGGCACTGAGTTTTCAGGCTGTTTCATGAAACTTTGGGGTGCCTAGAGAACTCCATGCATGTTGTCTATATGATGTGACCGTTGTATGTGGTATCTTTGCTCTAGTATCTGTGGTATGGTTTAAAGTATTGTATGCAACAAGTCTGTGCACAGCGTGTGTGCAGCATATGTGACTTATGATATATGGATTGTGATACAAGGATGTAGTTTAACATGTGTGGTGTATATGGGTTTATAACATGTATCTCTCTCTCTCTTTCTCAGTGTGTGTGTGTGTGTATGTGTGTGTGTGAACTTGAGAGAATGGACACATGTAACTTTCATGCTTGTCACATCTGTAGAATAGTGTCTGTTATGTATGTGCTATATGATGTGTTTGTGGTATGATGTGTGGAGGCAGGTATATGTGTATGTGTGCATGTGTGTGACTGGCAAGTGTATGTGTGTTTTTATTGAGGGATATTTTGTATGTTTATGGCTGTGAAAATGTATATGAAAGACACACAGTATGTGTGTGGTTGGAAGATTGTGTGTGTTGTGGTGTAGGGCAAACGGTGTGTATGTGCACACACAGGCAACCATAAAGAGCACACACACTTAGCATGTGTGGTGAGTGACTCAGGCATCCTTAAGACACTCCTTCAAACAAAGCAACTCCTTTGCTCTAAAAACTAGACCATAATCCAGTGACAGGCTAGAAAGCCACACAAGGATCCCAAAGGAATGTCAGAGACACTATTGCTAGCAATAATTGCTCAGCCTGTATTTGAAGTTTGAAGCAAACTTTGCTCTTTATGGATGTGGTCCATGCCAACCCACATCCCTTTAAAGCTGTGGTACCTACAATGTAATACCCTATGTTGGATGTGATCTCACCTGCACAGCACAGATGACTATCACCTGCCTTGTGCTGGCTCTATTCATCCCCCCAGCCCAGAAACAGAATCATTTCACCCCTATTAACCCACCTGCAAAAATCCCCCAAGAGTTCTGGCATACACACCACCTGCTACACAAATCCCTCATTCCACAGCTCTGGGGACAGAGTGGCTATTCTAGGGCCAGGCAGCAGGCACCCAGGGCCTTGCTACTCTCTTCCTTGTTACCTTTTACCTTGCTAGGTTTAGTCTACCATGTCACAACCCTATCGGCGTTTGTAAGAGTCCAATTATGTCATCACCTGATTTTCCTTGTGGCTGAAGCAAGTGCCACCAATAACCTGGTCTCTCTCTAGGCTACCATTTTTCTCTTGCTCTCTGGGATTTCCCCCTAACATTCCATTTTAACCTATTATGACATCTAGTGTAGAGTTTCAACAATTAAAGTGTAAACATCCACCCATCAGCTGCCCTCTTCTGGACAGCCCCTGAGGCCCCTCCTCAGAAACCCCTCCTCTACCAGCCCAGGCTACAAGCTATTCCTCTGAAGTGGCCCACAGTGCTCTTGGAATCCCAGATGTTAGCCAGGAAGCAGAGTAGGTGAGCTCATCTGAGCAAGGAGAAGCTCGTTTCCTATGGCGGTCACACCCCTTGTGCCTTCTCCACGCCCCACAACTGCAAGGCCAGAAGCTGCAGCAGAGAACGGCCGCCACTCCACACTTGCTAAACGTGTTTCCAAAACTGCATACTGACTCACTCATTCATTCAGAAAGCGTTCTGTCTGGGGCTCTTGTTTCATGTGCTGGGGACAAAGACATAAAGAGAGCAGAATCACGAAAACCTGTAACGCCGGGGGCAGATGTGGGGGTGGGGGATGGAAAGACGAAGGAAGCTGGTAGGGAACAAAATAGTAGACAATTTTTGGATTCCAAGTTATAAGAAGAGCTAAGGGCCGGGCGGTGGTGGCGCACGCCTTTAATCCCAGCACTCGGGAGGCAGAGCCAGGCGGATCTCTGTGAGTTCGAGGCCAGCCTGGGCTACCAAGTGAGTTCCAGGAAAAGGCACAAAGCTACACAGAGAAACCCTGTCTCGAAAAACCAAAAAAAAAAAAAAAAAAAGAAGAGCTAAGACAGAAAATGTGCTTGCGTGAGAGAGAATATAGGGCGCTAATTCGTAATGGAATACCAGGAAGGACATTGCTGGAAACATGGAGTGGACACTGAGTATGGGTGGTGAACAGAGAGATGCTGGCTTCCACCCAGGAGGAAGGGCACCTGGAACAGAAAGAGACAAGAAAGGGATGGGCAAAACAAGCAATGTGAAAAGGGAGCGTTATGACTGGACTACAAAGTGAGAAGGGGGTGACTCAGCTGAAAGCTGGCCAGGCTGTGCGCTGCTGATTCCTGCAAACAAAATCCAGGACTGAATGCTGGGACCTAGAAGCTGGGGGATACACAGAATTTTTTTTAAGCAACAATATTTGTTATCCTGTACCATTTCTGAGGGTCAGGAACTTGGGGGTGGCTTAGCTGTGCAGTTCTGGCTCAGAGGCTCCCATTAATGGAAGCATGGAGTTTATCCTTGGGTGGCTGGCTTCTTCCACTTAGCACAGTGTCCTCAAGACCCCTCCATTCTGGATGTGCAATGTGTCAGAATGGTCTCCTTCTTATCTTTCTTTCTCCCTCCCTTCCTTCCTCCCTTCCTTCCTTCTTTCCTTCCTTCTTTCCTTCCTTCCTTCCTTCCTTCTTTCCTTCCTTCCTTCCTTTCTAACTTCATTTCTTTCTTTCTTTCTTTCTTTCTTTCTTTCTTTCTTTCTTTCTTTCTTTCTTTCTTTCTTTCTTTCTTTCTTTCTTTTTCTTTCTTTCTTTCTTTCTCTCTCTCTCTCTCTTTTCCCTCTCTTGTCTTTTTGTTTCTCAAGATAGGGCTTCTCTGTGAAGTCCTGGATGCCCTGGAAACTCACACTGTAGACCAGACTGGCCTCTAACTCAGAGATCCTCCAGCCTCTGCCTCTCAAGTGCTAATACTAAAGTCATGTGTCACCATGCCTGGCTGTTCTTTCTTAAGACTGAAAAATGTTCCACTTTAGGCCTAGTATAATGAAGCACATCTTTAATCCTGGCACTCAGGAGGCAGAAGCTGGTGGAGCACTGTGAGGTTGAGACCAGTCTGGTCTACAAAGTGAGTTCTAGGACAGCAGGGTTACACAGGGAGACCCTTTCTTGAGAAAAAAGAGAAAAAAAAGAAAAAGTCCCACTTTGTGTGTGTTGGCCCTGCTTATTCATCCATCCATCCATCCATCCATCCATCCATCCATGGTGAATACTAGCCATCGGGAGTGGCACTGTTATGAATGTGGATGTGCAGGTATCCATTTGAGTCTTGCTTAAATTCCTTTGGGAACATATCCAGAAGTGAATTTCTGTCATAATTCACCTAATTATGCAAAATTCTGTTTAATGTTTTTTGGGAGTCATCATAATCTTTTCAATAACGTTTTCACAATTTCATATCTGCAGCCGAAGTGCCAATGTTCTAATTCCTCTACTTTTTCAAAAACATGTACTATTTTCTACTGTTTTAGTTTTTCATAATAGCCATCCTAGTGTGTTGGGATGGCATCTTGGCTGATTTTAGTTTGTGTTTCCTTCGTGATCCCTTGTGGTGAGCATCTGTGCTGTCCACTTGTGTAATTCTTTGGATAAATGTTGCATGAATTCCTAAATAGTCTTAATAAAAAAAAAAACCAGAGCCAGATATTGGAGTAAATGCTGAAAAATCAGAGAGACAAAGGAACAAGCCGCTAGAGAAACTTCTCATGACTACCGAATCCTCAGGCCAAATGGAAGGCGGGATCCTATCTCCACAAATCCTCTAAGTCCTTAGCCAAAAGGCCCTACTTCCTGTCTCCTCACACCTTACATGCTTTTCCCCACCCAGCCATTTCACTTCCTTCCTAGTGCTGGGGTTAATGGCGTGTGTGCTTCCTAAATACTGGAGTCAAAGGCATGAAATCCCAAGTGCTGGGATTAAAGGCGTGTGACTCCCAAGTACTAGGATTAAAGGTGTGTGCCACCACTGCCTGGCTCTGTTTCTCTCCTAGACTGAGTCAATCTCATGTAATGGCCTTGAACTCATAGAGATCCATTTGGATCTCTGTCTCCCCAGTGCAAAGATTAAAGGTGTGTTCCACTACTGCCTGGTATCTATGTTTAATCTAGTGGCTCTGTCCTCTGATCCTCAGGCAAGCTTTATTTGATACACAATAAATCACCACAGAGAAATATCTATTCAGTCTTTTGCTTATTTTTGAATTGGATTTTTGCTGTTGAGTTTTAGGAGTTCTCCATACATTCTGAGCATTAATCCTTTTTCATATTTTTGATTTGCGACGTATTCCCTCATCTTATAGCAGTGGTTCTCAACCTGTGGGCCGTGACCTCTTTGGGGGCCACAGATCAGATATCTTGCATATTGGATATTTACATTGTGATTCATTAACAGTAGCAAAATTGCAGTTATAAAGTAGCAACAAAATAATTTTATGGTTGGGGGTTAGCACAACATGAGGAACTGTATTAAAGGATCATAGCATTAGGAAGGTTGAGAACCGCTGTCCTATAGGTTGCCTTTACTCTTTAGACAGTATCATTATTATTGCTACTACATTCTCTCTCTCTCTCTCTCTCTCTCTCTCTCTCTCTCTCTCTCTCTCTCTCTCTCTGTGTGTGTGTGTGTGTGTGTGTGTGTGTGTGCATCTGAGTGCAGGTGTCTGTAGAGAGCATTATATACTTTCTTCATCTACTCCAGGCTGTGTTGGGCTTTTTGTTTCAGAAACACTGGGAGGGGACCATCTGCAGCAGCTGTGTAACCCTCTAATGGAATATTAAAGTGACCCAGATGAGGAAAAGCATTTGGACCTAGAGCAGAGACAAAAAACAAAGCAAAAACGGGATGGAATCAAGCAGTTCTGGGCATGGAACATGACTGCATATAAGGATGGGCTAATCACGGAGGGAGGCAGAGAGCGAGAGATCAGCAAGGACACTCAGTTCCACTTCTTGCACGGCTGATAAGTTCGTGGAGATGAGGAACACTGGAAAGGACTGCTCTGGAGGAGATGTCTCCTGGGTGCACTCTTTTCTCAGCAACATTTTCTACTTCTTGCTTTGTTTCTGTTTATTTTTGTTTATATTTGTTTGTTTTGTTTTGGTTTTTTGAGACAAGGTTTCTCTGTGTATACCTGGTTGGCCTGGAACTCAATTTGTAGACCAGGCTGGTCTCAAACTCGCAGAGATTTGCCTGCCCCTGCCTCCAAAGTGCTGGGATTAAAGGCGTGCACCTTAACCCACTGCCTGGCTTAAGGTTCTGCCTTTTTTTTTTTTTAAGCCTTCTAGGGTGAATGACTCTTTAAGACTTTTATTTATTTTTACTTTATGAATATTGGTGTTTGCCTGCATGTATGTGAGTGCACTACGTACATACAGTGCCCATGGAGGCCAGAAGAGGACATCAGATCTCCTGAAACTGTAATTACAGACCTTTGTTGTTTGCTTGTTTTAATAATAGGCATCCTAACGACTCTGGTTTGTTCCCCAAGGTTCACCTGCTAGAAGCTTTGTGCCCAGAACAGTAGTGTTGTGTAGACAAATTTCTAAACAGTCTCATTTAATAGAAACACAGAGCCAGATACAGGGGTGAAAGCCGTAGAGATCAGGGAAATAGGAATAGCCACCAGCTAACCTTAGCTCACCATACCACCATAGCTTCCCAAGAGAACCAGCTTCTTCCTGTCTAACCTGTGCCTCTATTGCTTTCCTGTTCTCCTTCTCATTGGCTCTTAGCCCAGCTACCTCACTTCCTTGTCACTGCCTGTCTATACAGACCTCCAGGTCTCTACGGTTGGTACTGGGATTAAAGGTGTGTGTCACAAGCTGGGCGGTGGTGGCGCACGCCTTTAATCCCAGCACTCGGGAGGCAGAGGCAGGTGGATCTCTGTGAGTTCGAGGCCAGCCTGGTCTACAGAGCAAGATCCAGGAAAAGGCGCAAAGCTACACAGAGAAACCCTGTCTCAAAAAAAAAAAAAAAACCAAAAAAAAAAAAAAAAGGTGTGTGTCACCACGCTTGGCTGTGTCCTTGAGCACACGGAGACTCTGCCTGCCATGCGATTGGATTAAGGGCCTGTGCTACCACTGCCTGACTTTTGTTTAGGGCTGGCTATGTCCTCTGATCTTCAGGCAAACTTTATTTATTAACATACAAATAAAATATCACCACATTTCAGCACGAATGAAATATCACCACAGTGTTGAGATGGAAGAAGCCTTAAGAAGTGGGTTCTGAAGCCGGGTGGTGGTGGAGCACACCTTTAATACCAGCACTTGGGAGGTAGAGCCAGGTGGATCCCTGTGAATTTGGGGCCAGCCTGGTCTACAGAGCAAGTTCCGGGACACCTAGAGCAACACAGAGAAGTCCTATCTTAAAACAAACAAACACAAAGGATTGCTGTCATTCTTCAGACCATGGCTAGCTTCTGTGGGAAAAGCTGTGATAAAGAAAAGGAGCAAGGGTGCCCCATCTCCCCCATTTTCTGGCTTCCTGCCTCACCAGCCACAGCTGCTCCCGCTGTGGCCCTTCCCCCACAGTCATGATGCAGCAAGGAGCCCTGGGCAGTGCCGGACCCATATTGTTTGGAGTTTCAGCCTCCAAAACCATAGGCTACACACAGTGTCCAGCTCCCGGTATTTTGTTGCAACAGCAGAAAGCTAACTAATACAGATGAGTCTGTGAGCCATGCATGTAGAGGTGTTGAGTTCACCAAAGGAACTCTGGGGAGGAGTGTGGGCTGAAACTAGACAGGGAAGATCGTTCATGAATTAATAGTGGCTGGTGGTGTGAGTGTCCATAAGACTGCTGAGGGAGAGAGCAAAATCAAAGTGACAGGGGCTAAGGGCAGAGCCCAGAAGAGCACTGGCCACACAGAAAAAAAAAAAAAAAGCTGGAGCTTGCAGTGCCCTTCGTAAAGAAGGCTAAGGGAGGAAGCAGTTGTTGAGTCACGTGACTAAGAGCTTGATTGACATGAAGGGGGCCGAGTAATGCCCAGGACCTGGGCACCAGCATTGTCACCAGTGACCAAAGCCAGAACAATGGACAGAAAGACACAGCAAAGCAAGTAGAGGAAAGAGAAGAGGAGGGACTAGGGATGACCCAAGAGCGGAAGAGGTGGGAGGAAGGCGGTGGAGAGAGGACTTCACAGGGGGCCAGTGCTTCTGCCCCTGGCTGCGTTACCATGACACACCCCACACTCCACACTTCCCGGGAGGTCAGGCCCACTTCTTTGACCTCCTATTCCACTGAGTGAGCACCCTCTGCCTTCGAGGTCTTCAGCCTGTCACCACACTGCCTGTGTTCCTGAAGCTCCATCCACCACCACACTGCATGTGCCCCTGAAGCCTCCATCTACCACCACACTGCATGTGCCCCTGAAGCCTCCATCTACCACCACACTGCATGTGCCCCTGAAGCCTCCACCCATCACCACACTGCATGTGCCCCTGAAGCCTCCACCCATCACCACACTGCATGGTCTCTGGAGCCTCCATCCATCACCACACTGCATGTTCTCTGAAGCCTCCATCCACCACCAACCACATTGTGTAGCTCCAAGGCACCTGCTAGAGCTGCTGTAGCCACAAAAATCTCCAGCTCACATTTCCTCCTGGACAGTGACTTGCATTCTTATATATTACCTCTGATTCATTCATGGTCACATTCTCCCATCATTAGAGGACTATCAGCACACCTTTGGTACCTTTTGATTTACTTCTCAGCATCTTTTCCTCAAAATATACCCATCAATCAACATGTTATCCACTTCAAATACTCACAGCCATTGCATCAGACCAATTAAGTCTTTGTGCCCATGATGAACAGTGGTTCACAGTATTAGGATCTTCTTCATCAGACATCCAGGCCATGGTGACAAGAGTTTGCATGTGTACATGTGTGCATGCCTGTGTGTGCTGGTGCATATGTGCCCTGGGTGTATGATATGTGTGTACTCATGCACATGTTCATAGGTTTACCCGTGGGTATGTACACCCTCACCACGTGCACATTATTTGCATGAATGTAAATGTGCACATGTACGTACACCTTACAATGTGTACATGTGTTTGTACTATTCATGTGTGTGGATATATGTGAGTCTATGCCATGTGTGCATGGGTGAGCATGTAGATGTAGGTATGTGTACATACTCCATGTGTGTGCATATAGAGTTTGGGGTGCCACCATGCTTATCTTAGAATAAGTGGCAGTCTTGGTACCTTTTCCCAACACTGCTTGCTGTGGATTGCAGCCACTGGGAAGCCTGGCCCCTCCGGTGGACACCAAAGTCACAGAGAAGGAGAAGAAGCCACCGACAGCCACCACCAAGGGGAGAGGGAAAGGAAAAGGCAAGAAGAAAGGCAAAGTGAAAGAGGAGGTGGAAGAAGAAACGGACCCCCGGAAGATCGAGCTGCTGAACTGGGTGTGTGGAGAGTCCTTGCTCACGTGTCTTGAGACTGCAAAGACCAGAGCTGGCCTTGCCCTAGTTCTCCAGGGAAGGGACACTCTAGTCTCCTTTGCTTCATCCCACCAGGATGGAGGACTGATGGGCTGATGCCAATATTTCAGTGGCAATAGTGTGTTCACCACTGTTTCATAAGTAGGAGTGGTTGTCATTATGGCATGCGCTTGTCACTGCAGAGGCCTGCTTGCCTGTCTCAGCAGCAGGGAGACCCAGAAACATCATGCACAGATGGCTCCAGCCTCCCAAGCTGGGTAGCTGCTGCTACTCACCCATCACCCCTCTCCATACTACCACCAGCTCTATCTTCAAAAGGGTTTTGTTGTGTGAACTGTAAATATGTGGTCAGGTTCCCTTATTCTTCTGTACCAAGTGTCTGCATGCCTGCCAAGCAGAGAGAGCAATGACCAGGGCTTCCTTTCAGAGTGGTACCTTTGTTCCATAATTAGGAGTGTGTGACCACTCACCCACACAGCAACCCAGTGGCCTGTGACATGCCCACATGGTCCTACCACCATCAAAAGATGCCCCCCAGCCAAGGAAACAGCAGAGAGAAACTGAACAGGGCAACGTTGGGATAGTTGTCTTCAACTCATTAAAAAAAAGTTAGATTTTTTTGTTTATTTTTATTATTTTATGTGTATGAGTGTTTTGCCTGTGTATATGTATGTGCATCACGTACTTGCCTAGTGCCTACAGAGGTTGGAGGAAGGCACTGGATCCCTTGAGGCTAGCATTGGCAAACAGGTTGTAAACTGCCATACAAGTGCTGGGAATTGAACCTGGGTCCTCTTCAAGGGCAGTAAGTGCTCTTAGCTTTTGAGCCAACTCCCCAGCCTTCTTCAACTCATTTTAAAAACATAAAATCTCTAACAGACTTTGACAGAGCATGTGGGGACCAGGCTGAGCAGAAAGGAGAGAAGGTTAAGGCACGTTCATTCAAAGGAAACAACCCTGGGAACCACAGGCCAGGTGCAGCCATTAGTACAGCTCTTGGCATTATGTGAGACCATGGGCTCAATGCCCAGCACCAGGTTAACAAACAGAGAATACAGCTCAGAACATTCCAGAACTTTCCATGATGTGTCCGAATGTCCCCTGCCTGGAGTCTCCAGGGAGGCAATTCATGGTCTCCCTTCTGGATTTCGTGCAGGTGAATGCCTTGGAACAAGCCATGCTGGATGCTCTCGTCTTAGATCGGGTTGACTTTGTGAAGCTCCTGATAGAAAACGGGGTGAACATGCAACACTTCCTCACCATCCCGAGGCTGGAGGAGCTTTACAACACCGTGAGCATCCCAGGGAGAAGGCTGGAGGAGGCGAACTGGCCCTCGGAATATTCCTGTCACTGACACATATTATGCAACAACAACAACAACAAAAAGCGCTCAGTTGAGTTTAGACTCACTGGGGCAGCCTCAGCTGGAAGGCCAGTGTGCCATGGGGGGTAGCTAATTCTCACTTCCTCCTGGCCACTCTATGTTGATATTCTCAGCAACTGTGCCATGCCAGCCAGTCCCTCCAGCTAGAGTAGACAGATGACCCTCGCTGTACAATGGGGCTCACATCTTCATAAAGCCATCTCTGTGGTGAAAATGTGTACGTGATGGTCCTAAGCCACTGAACATCATGACACAAAACACCATCATAGCATCAGGCATTCCCTGGGGGTATGGGGCTTACCCAGAGCTGCAGCTCATGTGGAAAATGAGGAAAAGACTGTGGATCACTAGCCTGGGGAAAGGATTCAGATCCAGTGTCTCGTGACGACTCATGTGTTACTTGTGCGACAGAGAAAAGTCTAAAAATGACCAGATGAACCCCTGCAAGTCTGCATTTACATCCTATGCTTGTGAAGCAAGAGGCCCTCCTGTCCTAAGGCAGCTGCAGACTGAACAGTCACCAGGGTTATTAGTCAACTGTTGCTTGGGAAAACAAATATTAACAGGTAGGAGCTGTGCTGTGTCAGAACAGGAAGGGTTTGGATGAAATCTGCTTTGCCTACACTAGTGCAATTTAAGTTTTGGAAACTTACTTCTTCTTCTGGCATTCTAAGACACGGTGTAAAACATGCAGATATTCAACACTGCAAGAACACTGAAACTATCCAAAGTATTTCACACACATTTGAATGTGGGGACCACAGCCAGGTGTCTTAGAAAATAAATGAGTCAGTAGTACATTACAAATCCCACAATTCAGTGGGGCAGAATTTTGCTCAAGAGTTGAAGAGCCAACCATACTTATTGTGGCTGACTGCTTCCCTTTCAGAGACTGGGTCCACCAAACACCCTTCATCTGCTGGTGAGGGATGTAAAGAAGGTGAGTCCATCTGCCCTGTACCTGCTAGCATCCATCGCTAAAATAGTTTGGAGAACAATCTTCTGTTTGTGACATGTGTTACCTTTTTATTTGAGACAGGGAACATTATTTGAGACACAGGGAACAATTACTTCCTCTGTCCATAGCAAGAGTTTATTTATTACTTTAAGAAGAGAAGAATAAAGGGAGAGGCTGTAAGTGCTTGGAACTGGAGTTTGGATTTCTAGCATCCAGTAAATGCTAGGTGAGGTCCTGTGAGAGGACTCAGCAGGTAAAGGTGCTTGCTGATAAGTTTGAGTACCTGAGTTTGATCTCTGGGACTCATACAGTAGAAGAGAAGTGACTGCTACATGTTTTCCTCTGACCTTTATAGCTGCACTGTGGCATGCGTGCGCGTGCGCACATGCACACACACACACACACACGCACGCACGCACGCACGCACGCACGCACGCACACACACACACACACATGCACACGCGCGCGCGCACACACACACTAAATATATAAAATTGTTTTTAAAAAAATCTAAGCAGGATGGTCATGGTGCCCCCACCTCGTAACCCTAGCCTGCCAGAGGTAGAGACAGAGAATCCGTGAACTAAGCTGGCAAGCTCTAGGTTCATTTTAGCCTCTACTTCAATACATAAGGTAGAGAGAAGCTGAGAAAGACACCAGACTTGTCAACTTCAGGTCTCCACAGGCATGCACACACATGCATGCATGTGTACCTACACATACAAACACAAATACACACATGCATGCATGCCAAACAAACATACATACATACATACATACATACATACATACAAAAAGCAAAACTAAAATTTGAAGTAGCAGGGAGGTAGAATAAGCTTTGTCACAGCCCAGGAGCACACTGATGCTGCGGGATTATAGTGTAGCACCAACGTGACTCCACAAGTACCAACAGGAGGCTCCTCAGGAGGCCTGTGTGTCCTGGGCATTGCATCAGAGGTTCTCAGCCTTTGCAGTTCCCTCATTTCTAAGGGGAACCGCTCTCCTCATTCTCCAGGGCTCCCCACTATGGACAGCCTGTGTTCCTGTGGGGTCTTGCTCATTCAGTCCTACCCTGGGATCTCTTGTGTCTTGTCATCACAAGTTAGAGATGAGATCAGGTTCTCATAGGAGCAATCTATCTCTCTAGAATGAGAGAGTGGGGCTTTGGGTCAGAGTCCTGGATGGTCTGGTCATATTTCTTATCAATATTCAGCTCTAAGAATACGAGAATATGATTTCTACAGAGCAGAATAGAATCAGTGGATCTGGGAACTGAGGACCTCAGAGACTCTCTGGTCCAGAGCCTTGTTACACACACAAGAAGTCTGCTCCCTCCCTCAAGATCCAGGTGGGAGAAAGATTAGGAAGTGTAAACTTTCGAAGTGAGAGCTGTCCAAGTTCAAGCCCAACCACTTCCCAGCTGAATGACTTCAATAATCTCCCCTTCTCCTACAGTCCTCCCATCTCCCACTTGATTCCCTGTTCATAATCATCACCCCCAAATTGTTCCATGGCTGCAACCTGAAGTTTAAGCTTGTTCGAATACACATAAATTCCCAATGGGCCTGGCCCATGCCCGTGACCCCTACTCCCTCCCACCACGTTCCACCATACTCTAAGCCAACCCACCTGAATGTGGGGAGGAGCCCTGGGAGACTGTGTTCTGTCTCACAGCACTTGCTCTTTCTCTTTCTATCCATCATCCCTGCTCCACTGCTCCTATATCATCGTCTCCTGGAAGCCCACCTAGGCATCTCAGACATTCCTGTGAGTTCCACATGATGCTGTGCGCTGCTCTTCACAGCTTCATCCCTCCCCCTCCCCCAGCATACAGCTCCTTGTTACCAATAAGGAATCTTTGGGCTGGGATGTAACTCAACAGCAGAATGCATTCCTACAGTATATGAAACCCTGAGGTCAATCCTCAGCACTGAAAAGTCCCAAGAGTAAAAAACACCCAACATAGTCAATGATCATAATAGAATCTGAAGAAATACAGATTTCATGAGCAAAGGATTCAGCCAGTGTAGCTAGTCTGCTTACAAAAATGACATTCAATAGATCCCAGTGTACCAAATCATTCCAGCTATTAGAATATCAATTGACACAATGATGTGTCAGCCTGTCTAGAATGTGGATGTGTAAGCACAATGCAGGGGATGCCTCTCTTCAGGCCATTTCTTCTCACCACTGGGACTCTGTCCCAGCAGACCCTCTTCCACAGTGATAAGATTCAGTCCCTTTGGTAGCTCTCTGTCATACCAGACAGCTGCTGGTTGTGTTTTTACTGAGGATCCAGTGTCCCCCAGAGTCACTGAGTCCCATTTAAACTTTCGCCAGAGAGGCTCCAGTCCTGAAAAATACGTGGGCTTCCTATGGATTCCCATGAGACCCACTTCCCTAATGAAACTTGGCCCCTCCCTGAGGCTAGCTTCCCCTCTCCAAAGGGCTATCAAGGGTATGTGTCATACAAATAAATCTGCTTATAGTCCACCGGCACCACACAGCTTCCTCCACCTCCACATACCAGCTACAAACCATTCTCTCTGGCCATGAGTGTGCCATAGACTCTGTGGTGACTGGGTGTCTAACTCTTTCTTCTCAATGGGAGAGCTTATGCCAATTTTTGGAATGTGGTTTAACCTGCCATCCCTGCACATCATATGGTAACAGACCGAACTTGGTTGTTATAGTAACAGCCAAGTTGCTACCGGGGTGATGACATGTGCCTGACTTGTGGGATGATGTCTTCACAGTGAACTTCTTTTTTTACAGAGCAACCTTCCACCAGATTATCACATCAGCCTCATCGACATAGGGCTAGTGCTGGAGTATCTCATGGGAGGCGCCTACCGATGCAACTACACTCGTAAAAGTTTCCGGACTCTCTACAACAACTTGTTTGGCCCTAAGAGGGTAGAGATCAGCAGACACGCAGTGTCCTGTGTCTCCCAGAATGGCATGTGGTTCCTTGATGTGCTTCCCGATAAGTCTACCTGTGCAGAACCCAACTCTTCACGCCATGTGTCCCCGAGTACACCCACGCTACCTCTGCCCTGATCCCCAGTGTGAGGCCTCCCAGCTCCATGTGCAGCCATGCATATCACCTCTTACTACCGGCTCAGTCAGTGCAACCCGTCAAGCATGTCTGCCTCCCTCTTTCCCCACAATAGCCTTCCTCCTGGGTCCCATGTCTACTCTCTCAACCTGTCCTCCTACAGATCACTGGAGCAGCTGTCATCTTCTAAAGCATGGGGCATGAAAAACATCTGTTGCCACCCCACCCCCAAATCCAGGGCTCCCTGCTGGTCAAACAATCATAGCCAAACTCATGGTACAGCCAAGGAATCCAAGACAGCTGTGGCAAGCCATCCCCACCCTACCACAATAGGTCGTATTCCTCTACCATAATCAAAGTTAATTCCTGACCTGCCGTAATGCTTCTTGTTGCTCCAGCCCTTCAAAACCCCAGTCATGTGAACCTCAGCTCTGTGGGAGGTATTCCTCACTCCTACTCCACAATCTCTGCTGGGAAATTTGTTCGGTTCTACTTACAAGGAGGGCTGTGTGTCTGTACGTCTTTCCAAACTGACTTCTGCTGACAGAAGTGGTTTCCATTTGAAGGCATTTCCTCACTTGGATATTGTTATTAACTAGTGGTGATACAAAGTATTTGACTTCATTAACACAGTACTCACAGTTACCTGAGTAAACTTCTTTCTTTTCCTGCTTCTTCATTATGCAGCCAAAGGCGCTTAAACTTCTGGGAATGGAAGTAAGTACAGCGGGTCTGTAGTAGTTTATGATACTTTGGTCACTCTGTGAAAACTTTTAGATCTAGATTAACACAAAATTGGGCAATGTTTTCCATGAATAAGTACTCTACACAACTCACCAAAATCTTAGATGAGTTGGATGAATCATATAAAAGGTCATACAACCTTTAAAAAAATTTACATGCTAATGGGGGGAAGCTGTGTTTTCCTACGTGTGTGGGTGTGTGCAGGCAAGAGGTTGTCCTCACACGTCTTCCTCAGTTGCTCTCCACTGTGTTTATTGAGACAGGATCTCTCACTGAACCTGGAGCTTGCTGATTATAACTACTTTATCTAACCAGCTAGACTTGGGGAAATCTCCTGTCTCTAGGATTACAGGCAGGTATGATGCCTGCCCAGCTTTTACCTGAGTTCTGGGGATCCAAACTCAGTCCTCACACTTCACAGCCAAGCATTCTATCCATGGAGCCATCTCCCCAGCCTATGCTTATCATATTTTTAAAAAATTAATTTTCTTTTTTGTTGAGAATTCCATACCTGTGTATAATGTATTTTAATCAATCAAATCCACCCTCATTCACTCCCCTCCAATTCTTCCCATATCCTTGCACCTTTCTTCCCTCCCAAATGCATGGGCTGCTTTTTAAAGCCACTGAGTCCTCTCAGGGTCACCTGTATGTACATGGGTGTAGGACCACCTAATGAAGTGTAGGTAGCCTCTCAGAAGCCTCATCCCTGAAGAAAACTGGCTCTATTTGCCCCCATAGACATCAATGGCCAGTAGCTCCTCAGCTAGGGGTGGGACTTTATAAGCTCCTCCCCCACCCATGCTGGGATTTTGGTTGGCTTGATCTTACACAGGTCTTGTGCAAACAGTCACAGCCACTGTGAGGTCACACAGGCAACATGTCTAGCATGTCTAGCAAGTACTGTTTCACTGCAGATGCCAACCACCTCTGGCTCTTACAATTTTTCTTCCCCTTTTTCTGCAATGATCTCTAAGTCTTGGAGAAAGAGAATATGATGTAAATGTCCCCTTTAGAGATGAGCGCTCCACAATCTCTACTGTAAAAAGAAGCTTCTGTGATAAGGTTTGAAAGATGTACTAATCTATAAGCATAAAAATGCCTTGGGGGCAGTTTGATACTATGTCCACTTAGCAGATGTATTGGGTTATCCCTGAAGGCCTATGACCTAGCCAGCCATGGGTTTGGGCCCAGTACCAAGCACAAGAACAAAAGTTTCATCTTGTGAAGCTAGCCTTAAATCCAATCAGAAAGTGTTGGTTACTACAATAAATATTCATGTTACTATCACACCAGTGGGCTTGTCTTGTCAGACCAGTCATTACTGTAGCTCACGGGATTCCCAGTGGGTAGGACGTGATTAGCTTTCTTCCCTGGTAGTGTGTACAGAGCCTTCCAGCTCTGTGAGAGCTAGCCAGTAGGGATGAAGCTTCCAGGTCAGTACCAGCTTCATTTCTCCTTGACTCATGGTCTTTTCAGCAATGGGATCTTGCTATCAAGTTCTGGAAGGTAACCAGAAGCAATGATAACAACCTGTAATATCTGGTGAGGGTGTCTATGGGATAACAGACACTTTTAAAGATAGAGGCTACCTAACTAATGCTATAAAGTTTGTAAAAGCAGTTTCTAAAGAAATCCTAAAGAACAGAAACCCTTAGAGAATGATGTTACTTCTATTATTTAAAAACCATAAAATACCAAAAAAATCTCAATACAACTTTGTAATGTCTTCAATAAGAAATTTAGATTTCCTAAGAATACAAATATAATTTAATGTTAGTAAGTCTTTAATATGTTGCCTCACTGTTAAGATAAACAAGGAAGAGATATGACATGATCATTTATATTTATCAGTAGATACTAATGAGGAAGCTAAAAATTATATAATATTCCTAACATTTTTTTTTAATTAAAATAAAGTTATTTTCACAGAATAAATTCTGATCATGGTTGCCCTCCATCTCCTCACAGATCTTCCCTACCTCCTAACCCTTCCAACTGCACACTTTTCTTCTCTCTTAAACAAACAGATAAATAAAAACAACAAACAATGATACAGCAAAATAAACTATCCAACAACAACAAAAAAAGAAACTAGGAAAGAACATGAGAAACGCAGATACACACAGACACACACACACAAGCAAGCAAACAAAATCCGTACAACCTCAAAACCAGAAGCCATAATATACAAGCAAAAGACCAGTAAGGTTTAAAAAAAAATCCCCTAAGATACTAATGAGTTCATTTTTTGCCCATCTACTGCTGGGTATGGGCTGACCTTAAGTGTGATTTCTATACCCCTTTCTAATAGTTATCAAGTGGAGACAGCTTCTTGGTTGGGGATGGGAGCTCATGTCTACTGCCCCATCTCAGTGCTGGGATTCTGTGAGGTTTGGCTCTGTGCAGGTCTATGCACGCTGCCATGGTCTCTGTGAGTTCATATGTGGATCAGTCCTGTTGTATCTGGAAGACAGTTTCTCTGGATGTTACAATCTTTCTGCCTCCTCTTCTTCAAAGTTCCCTGAGCCCAGACGGGAGGGATTTGGTGAAAATGTCCCATTTAGAACTGAGAGTTCCAAGAGGAAGCTTCTCTGATGAGGACTGAGAGAGAAACTGATCTATAGGTGTGGAGGAATGTCATTAGAGGTCACCTTATTGCTACGTTTCTTTCGCAAAATGACTATCAGCAAATAATACTATTTGACATCAGGAAGAGCAACTCAAGTGACCTCACCATGGGACAAAAGAATTGACAACACCATTAATAAAAAGCTTTAAAAATTAAGCTGGGCGGTGGTGGCACACGCCTTTAATCCCAGCACTTGGGAGGCAGAGCCAGGCAGATCTCTGTGAGTTCGAGGCCAGCCTGGGCTACCAAGTGAGTTCCAGGAAAGGTGCAAAGCTACACAGAGAAACCCTGTCTCGAAAAACCAAAAAAAAAAAGCTTTAAAAATTAAGCACCAAGCGCGGGGGCGGGGGGGGACACAAAACAACAGCACACTAGCTGTAGAGATGCTGTAAGTGTATTTATAAGTAAATTACCGTGTTCAACAGCATCCCATTCTGAATGGATTTGGCAAAGAAAGCTTCAGTTCAGAATTCACAGCTAAGGCCCAGCTCTGGCTCGACTGTGAGCCCCAAGTCTTCCGTTATTTCCTTTCTCTGGAGTCCTTCAATCTGGTAGGACCAACCTGGTCTACAAAGAGGTCTCGATGTGCGTTGGTAATTTTCTGCTCCAAGCCTGGTTTTAGTTTATTTTTCATTTCCTCGATGAGAGGCGCTGAGGATATGAATTCCTCTAGGCTTCCTGTCTGAGAGAGTTGAACTTGCTCATTTCCATTTTCCTAAAAGTGACTTCACCTAGACTTTCAAGTTCGCCTTTACAAGGCTTCACACAACATTCTAGCCTCTTCTGCCTGTCCAATAGCTTCAGTGATGTGTAGTTCTTATTCTGAGTTTTCTTTTTAATTACATTTTTATTTTCCTGTGTGTGTGTGTGTGTGTGTGTGTGTGTGTGTGTGTGTGTGTGTACACGTGTTTGCGTTCATTCGTGCGTGCATGCATCACATGCCAATAGAGGTCAGAGGACAACTTGTAGAAGTCTGTTCTCTCCTTCCATCATGGAGGTCCTGGAATTGAATTCTGGCCCTTAGGCTTAGCACCAGGAACCTGTTGGACCACTTTTTTTTTTTTTTTTTTTTTTTTTTTGGTGACAGTCTTTCCCTGAAGCTGGACCTCACTGGTTTGGCTAGACTGACTTGACCTTCAAACCCCAGGGATCCTCTTGTCTCTGCCTCCCAGTGCTGGGGTTGGAAGCCCTTGCTGCCTCAGCTGGCCTTCTATGTGGCATAGGGATCCAAACTCGGTTCCTCATCTTGCATAGCAAGCCCTTTCCTTTTATTTTGAGGCAGAATCTCACTCAGTTGCCCAGACTTGCCTTTGACGCACTCTGTAGCCCACGAAGAGCTTGAACTTGCTGACTTCCTGCCTCAGTCTCCAGGTTAGTTGGTATTACAGGCCTGTGCCACCAGGCCCCGCTTACGCAGTTTCTGTCAGTTCTTAGCTCAGCTCTATCTTGCAAACAATATCGCTGTTCTGCTGTGTTGGAAGATGTCCCTGAAGAGACAAACAGTGACTTCACCTTTCCTGTTGTGCTATCTGTATTTAGTTTCTGGGGAGGTTGCTCCATGTTTATTTTGTCTCCTCAGTTAAAAACCTCTGGAGAAAAAAAAACAAAAAACAAGAACAGAGCTGCTAACCCAGCGCTAAGTTACTCAAATAGCAGCATTCCTTTGCAGTTCACTTGGTTTTAAGTGATTTGCTTTTCATAATAAACATGTGCGCCTTCCCATAGGAACCAGCGTGCAGAGTGGAGGCCAGAGCCTGGCTCACCAAGGCTCTCAGCTGCTTCTGACGTGGAAGTCTTCCTCTCTCCTTTAGCTCCTGGGGAGCTAATTTGTTGCCAATTTAGGAAGAGCCATTTTTTTTTCTCTCCTCTCAGGATGATGAACCTCCAGCCAAAGGGAAGAAGAAAAAGAAGAAGAAGAAAGAGGAAGAGATTGATATTGATGTGGACGACCCCGCCGTGAGTCGATTCCAGTACCCGTTCCATGAGCTCATGGTGTGGGCTGTGCTCATGAAGCGCCAGAAGATGGCTGTCTTCCTGTGGCAGCGTGGGGAGGAGAGCATGGCAAAGGCCTTGGTGGCCTGTAAGCTCTACAAGGCCATGGCCCACGAGTCCTCCGAGAGCGAGTTGGTAGATGACATCTCTCAGGATCTGGACAACAATTCCAAGTGAGTATCTTGAGGGAACCTGAGGCCACGGTTGACTCTTGCCCTGGTGTTCTCCCCACTGAAGGCATGACCACTGCGCAGGCGTCTCCTTTAAGGACCATTGTGGTTGAGGCTTACTCATAGACTGCCTTGCCCATCACGTCTGTCTGTCAGTATTTTCACGGCTGTCCCTCTGGGCTATTATTACTGGTTTGGTCTGCTGCTTTCTCATGCAAATCATCAAAGCACTCCTCTGTACAAAAGTAGTGAAATAGATTCCCATACAGAAACACCCATGGATGCTGTACAAACTTCAGCACATCGATGCACTGGGCTCTGAATGTCAGAAGGCCTTCTGGATTTTTCTTCCCCTGGAGCTGGGGCAGATGGCTAAAGGAGGCTGGTGTTGGCTTTTTCTCTTCATGCAGATACCCGCAGCAGGCTAGGCTTTCTGTTTAGCTAGTTTCTCCTGGGGCAGGCCTGCTAAGGAGGGCAGAGTAGTGCCAGGTTTTAATGAGGTTCCTTTTCCCTTTCCCCTACCGGAAGAGGGGGTGCTCCTACATTCGCTGTCGGAACCTGGTTGGGTGGGGCCCTGGACTTGATTACATTTGGACTTGATCATAGCAAGCAATCAGTAATACATGGGTTATAGCTAGAGTTGTGTTTCCTAAGCCCGCCCTGGTTCTGCGGACACGTCTGCTACAGTGAGCAATGATTCTGTGTCTGCCCGCCTGTCCCTGCGGTGCTGGGACAGAAGTCTTCCCTGGGATGGAGTGAGGAAGGGAGGCTGAGCTCCAGCCTGTTCAGCGCTTCATCTGTTGTTAGGAGTGGCCAGCCCTTTCCAAGTTCATCACGTGCCAGACTGGAAATCTGAAGCCCAGGGACGGCTTTCTAGCACATGAACTTGAGGCAGACCCAGCCAGGCAGCTGTGCCAGCACCTGACAGCTTTGTCTGGAAGCCTTGTGCTTTTGTTCTGGATTCAGTGATTTCCAAAACCATTAGCTGCCTTCTAAACGTTAGCACCAAAGACTGTAATGTTTTTCCCTCAGTTGATTTTATTTTATGAATATGAGTGTTTTGCCTCTGTGTGTGTGTGTGTGTGTGTGTGTGTGTGTGTGTGTGTGTGTGTGTGTGTGTGTGTGATGCCACCTGCATGCCTGGTGTCTGAGGAGGTCAGAAGAGGAGGGGTGTCCAATCCCCTGGAGCTGGAGTTACAGGTAGTTGTGAGCCACCATGTGGGTAGTGGGAACTGAACCCCGGTCCTCTGCAGAAGAAAGAAATGAATGCTCTTAGCCATTACGCCATCTCTCTAACTTCAGAGCCTAAGGATTTTTAGGCCAGAGATACATTCACCTGCCTTGGGTGACGCAGTCCTGCCTTGCAGAGAGTCCTCCCTTGGTGATGTGCCACCCTGCAGCCTAGGACCAGGACCAGAAAGTCCTGTGCACTGCGGAGTCTTCAAGGGACAGGAATGGCCACTCTCCCTCCTCCTCCATCTCCATCTTCATCATAACTGCAACAAAATATCCTGTAGGTGGAGAAACAAAACCAGAGGAGAACGATCACTATGTGGCCATATTTTAATCCCATCCCACGACAAAAAAAGACGAAGGAACAGGAAGTGGCTATAGCTGTCTTTATAAAATCAGAGTCATTAGGGGAAAAGAGCAAACTATGCTCAAAATTCAGCCATGTCACCTTCTGCATGTCCCGACTCCTACGCTGCTGCTGCCATTCACCATCAGATGACCTGCTCTGGGCCCTGTGACAGCTACACTCTGTCCCATTGCTCTGGGCATGTTGAATTATCTTGTAACCAACGGCTTGTTGAAGTCTTACACGACACATGAAAAGCACATGGTTTAAATGTTTGGCTTACACGCGGGCATGGCCGGCACCCACATTTAAAATCAGAACCTAACCAACACCCACAAGCCATCCTGGTGCTCTACCAACCCCACTCATTGGTCCCTCTGAAGCAGGTGCTGGTTACTACCGCTTGCAACCCCACAGATCCTGCCTTTTCAGTCCGCCTCACTGTTCTTTGTACATCCCAAGTCAAAGACTTTGTCTCCTGGGGGTCCCGAGGGACACAGCTAAGCTCTGTTTGGAGGAAAGGCAATCCATCCCCTCTCTGGCCAATCAGAGCTTGCTACTTATTGTCCCTTCTCTGATGACAGGTCTTGAGAACTTAAAGAGGACATCAAAGCCACTCTCAGTCCTGTGTTCTGTGTCTTGTATAGCTCCCCTATGGACATATATGTTTAAGCACAAACTCACAGCCCCTGTGGTATCATCGCCACCGCCAACGTCTCCCCCCCCTCCCCCGCAGAGATTTCGGGCAGCTTGCTGTGGAGCTGTTAGATCAGTCTTACAAACACGATGAGCAGGTGGCCATGAAGCTTCTGACCTACGAGCTCAAAAACTGGAGCAACTCGACCTGCCTCAAGCTGGCTGTGGCGGCCAAGCACCGGGACTTCATCGCTCACACCTGCAGCCAGATGCTGCTGACGGACATGTGGATGGGAAGGCTCCGCATGAGGAAGAACCCTGGCCTGAAGGTGGGTGTGATGCAGTCACTACGCTGGGGTCACACAGATGGGACACTAGGCTGAGCCCAGTACCTGTGGCTTATTCCCTCTGCAGTGGCCCTTACGGTACAGGAGTTCACTTCCCCCCTTTCTGTTACCTCGTCACCCACAGCCTGAAAATGTTCAATGGAAAATTCAAGAAGTAATGAATTCGTAAGGTTTTTTTGTTTGTTTGTTTGTTTGGGGGGCAATCAAGGGCCTGTTGTAAAACAGATGAAGACTCCCCGCTACTGAGCTTTACCCTAATCTTCTTGCTTGAGTTGTAAATTGTATACTGTTCTGAGTAGCATGATGATCCCACTCTACCCACCCCGACCCCCAAACATAAATCGTCGGCTTGTCCACAACATGTGCTGCGCCTACCCATTGGTCACCTAGTAGATATCTCAGTTAGCATATCGACTGTCACAACACCCCAGTGCTTGTATTCAAGTAATCCTGAAGTTCCTTATTCGTGGCCCCACAGAAGAGAGTGGCGATGCTCAGGAGGCAGCAGCGGGGTGTGAAATGTAGGGCGCCTCAGCTTTGCCACTAGGTGGCAATGCCACAGACATCCAGACACCACCCAGAGGACATGGAGGTCAGCACTGTCTGTGTCAGGCATCTGGGGTGGTTAAGAGAGGTAAGGGGGACAGACCGCTGTGTTCCCCTCCACAACCCCACACAGCAGACACTCCAACAGTTCTGCCTTCACAGGTGAGGAACTCAAAGCTCGGCGATGAAGTTGCCCAGGGTCTGATCTGGCCGGTACAGGACAGGACCTGAGCTGATGTAGTCAGACACTCCGGTCCCCATGTAGCCAGCATGCTTTGCCTCAGAGCTCTTCATCACAGGATCCAGGTTCAATTCCCAGCACCTCCATAGTGGCTAACAACTATGTGTAACTCCAGTTTCAGGAGAGCCAACTCTCTCTCCGGCCTCCTCAGGCATGACACACACATGGTGCATAGACACACATGCAAACACAATATCCATAGGCATAAAAACAAATTAATCATTGAAAAAAAAAACCAAGTACAGATCTGCCCTCTGTTTCTACAGTACTTTGGCTGACAACACCTCTCCCTTACACATGGTTTATGAGAGAATGCGAAACAATGAAAAGGTTTGGAGAGTTCTAAACAGTTAACAAACTCCTAGATTATCCTGAGAAAAGATTTTATTCAGCCAGAAATCCAACTATATAATTGTGGTGATATACTGTGTACCCTAATCATATTTGCCTGAAGGTCAGAGGACAGAACAAGCCACTATTTTAAACATAAAGGCCAGGCAGTGGTGGCACACACCTTTAATCCTAGCACTCAGGAGGCAGAGATCCGTCTGGATCTCTGTGAGTTCGCAGCCGCCCTGGACTACACAAGATTGACTCAGTCTAGGAGAGAAACAGAGCCAGGCAGTGGTGGCACACACCTTTAATCCCAGTTCTTGGGAATCACAAGCCTTTAATCTCAGCACTTGAGATCTCATGCCTCTGCTTGGGAAGCACACACACCATTAATCCCAGGACTAGGCTGGGCAGAGAAAGGTATATAAGTTATGAGAAGACAGGAACTAAAGGCTTTTCAGGCTGAGGAGTTCTAGAATTAAGACGTGGCAGTGGCTTGTTCCTTTGTCTCTCTGATCATTCAGCATTTACCCCAATATCTGGCTAGGGGTTTTTATTAAAAAAACCTTTTAGAATTCATGCAACATAAAATAATTATATTATATATTGATTTTATGGGCTCTCTATGAAAATAGAGGCGAAACACTGCAGGATCACTATCCCTTATCTGAAATGTCTGGGGCCCAAAGTGTCTTCAATTTCTTTTTAGGTTTGGAATTTTTACACAGACTTAATATCTTGGAGATGGTATTCAAGCCCAAGTGCAAAATCAATTGTTTCACATTCACTTTCTATTCACATCCTGAGGGTTAATTTTATTCACCATTTCTAGGGTGCCTGCATTGTGACTATGGCCCATTACATTAAGTCAAGTCAGGTGTGGGATTTCCCACTGTGCACTGAGTTGGGTTCAGATTTTTGGAGTAATTAGAATTTCCGATGGGCACTCATTCTGTATGGCACAGTGACTAGCAGAAGAACTCCACCTCTTACAGGTGCTGTGCCTAGCTGTCCAGTGCTACACAGCGCACCAATTCATTACATTGATATTGTAGACAGCCTTGGATATTAACAAATGTAGTTGGTTTTCAGGATGTCAATGTCAAAGAGATTAAAGGCATTAAAGAAAACAGGTCAAGTGTGACGTGATGAGCGTTGGCTTAGCAACAGAAGCGCTGTAACCTAGAAGTCAGCAGAAAAGCAAGGCCTTCGTCTTCATGGTTTTGATTGGAAAAACATTTAGAATCTGGATTTTTTTTTCCCACCTGATCCGGGTCTTTAAAACATATGAGGACAGCCAGGGATGTAGCTCAGTGGTTCAACCTTTGCCTAGCTTGCACAAGGTCCTGGGTTCAAATCCTGTCATGGCAACAGAATAAGAAGTAAAATGCACAAGGAAATCAGATTCCTCTAAAACAAGCAAAGCACCAGGCCAGGACTGGTGGCACAAAGCTGAGGTAAAAAGCGTGCAAGTTTAAGGCTTGCCTGATCTGCAGAGTGAGCTAGAGTCGGCGGGGACAGCTCAATGAGACTCTGCCTCAAATAAAACGTAAAATCGGTGAGGATACAGCTTAGCGGTAGAGCCCTTGCCTGGTCCTGGGTTTGATCCCAAGTAGTGCAAAAATAAATACAAAATAAACCAGACAAACACTGAAACTGCTTTCATCATACCCATTCCAAAAGATTGCACAGAATAAATAAGCCCCTGTGTTTTACAAACCCCATATGCAGTCCACGCAACGAATGTGAGGCAGTTCAACTGAATAAATGCAGAGTTTTGTGGGGCCTAAGAAGGATGTACTCAGGAAGAAGGGGATACACCAGATGCTTCAGTCAAACATTTAACCTTGCAAGCCTGAGTACTAAGTTTGACTTCCTAGAACCCACATTTAAAAAAAAATAAAGAGTCAGACATGTAATCTCACTGCAGGGGAGACCTAACAGATGGGTCCCTGAGCTTGCTGGTCAGCTAGGAGACTGTAATTGGTGACTTCCAGGCTGGTGAGAAACCCTATATCAAAAAGCAAAACAAACTAAGTAGGTCCTCTGGCTCCCACATGAGCTCATACACCATACACATGTGCACCCACACATAGAAACACACACACACATACACACAGAGAGTGAGAGCGAGAGCGAGAGCGAGAGCGAGAGCGAGAGCGAGAGCGAGAGCGAGAGCGAGAGCGAGAGAGAGAGAGAGAGAGAGAGAGAGAGAGAGAGAGAGAGAGAGAGGGGACTAACAGATAGATTGATCAATGGCTAAGAAGCCCCCAGGTGTTGAGGTTGCGGGAACAGGGAAGCAAACACTGTTGATACTCCTTAACAAGAAGACAGATGGGAAATCTAAATTTCAGGGAAAAATTAAAGCTACACACAAAAGTTAAGGTTCAGGTTTGATCAGAATTCAAACTTGGAAGGTTTTTAGCAATCAGTGGAGCATAGAGAAGCATGGATAAAACAGCAGCAAGCTTCTATCTGTGAGCCAGGCATCACTTCCCCCTCTGGGCTCGGCTCAGCCCTTCCTCTGTGAACCTTCCAAGTCCAAATGCACATATTCTCATCACACCGCAGTATTTTTATATAAAACAGAGGTGTTACTATATTCATTAGATTTTAATTTAGTTATCTACTTGCTTTGTTTGTGTGGTTTGCTTTTACGGTGTTGGGAGTCAGTGCAGGGACACACTCATGCTGGCAAGTATTCTAGCTAAGCCTCTACCTCGACTTACCTGTGTGGGGATTTAATGTTTAAATGTTGCTTTTTAAAGTCTGGATTACACACAACATTGCTTGTCATTTCTCTTTTGAAAAAAACAAATCAGTGGATATTCTCAAATTTCTCATGATCTGCAATTCTACCAAAGTATCCAGCACATAAAACCACCGATCATCAGGGCAGGAATGAGGACAACCCAGGCTCCCAGGTGACCGACAGTGTGGTCGGTGTAACTTTACAGCTTCAACAGTCAGCCCCCCCCCCCCCCCCCCCCCCCCCCCCCCGGCTCCCAGGATTTCATGTTCTTGAAATCAACTGAACACATATCAAAAACCCCTTTAAGGGCTTTCAGAATGGCCTGGTGGGCAAAGGTGCCTGCTGCCAAGCCCGTCAACCCGAGTTCAATCCCTGACCCACAAGGTTGAAGGAGAGCACCAGCTCTTGCAAGGTGTGCTCTGACCTCTACGAATTCACTGTGGCATGTGACACGCACACACTAGATGGATATGTGATTTTTAGAAATCCGTATTTGTAAGTATATCAGAACTGAATGTATGTAAGCTGTCCTTTTGGTCTCACTCCCTAAACAATAGGGTAGAGCAGCTTTGAACCCAGCACTCACATTGCATCAGGTTAGCAGCCATCTAGGCATAATTCAAAGCGTGTGGAGGGACACGTGGAGATCATATGCCAACATTGTGTCACGTAACGACCGTAAGTGCCCACAGGTTTTGGTATCTAAGGTTGTTGAATCAGTAAAGCACACTTCTCGGGGGACTGTGAGGGCATACCCAGGAAGGATTAACTAAGGGCGAGAGGGGAGACCTACTCAAAATGTGGATGGCGTCAGTTCACAGGCTACAGATGGATGAAATAAAGGGAAAGGGAGAAAGCCTGAAGTGCAGGTTCAGGTCCCGCCCCCTCTGCCAGGATGGCAATGCTTTGCCTCCCCTCCCCTCTCCCCCCCTTCCTTCCCCTCCCCTCCCTCTCCTCACTGTGATGATTTAAAATAAGTCTTTCCTCCCATAACTTGTTTTCTTAGGTATTTCATCCCAACACGCCAAGAAGTAACCGACAGAGACTAGATTTTCCGTGGATTACCACAGCTAAAAACTGCATTTGTTTCTCATCACCTAGGTCATCATGGGGATCCTTCTACCACCCACCATCCTGTTTTTGGAATTCCGTACATATGATGACTTCTCATACCAAACATCCAAGGAGAATGAAGATGGCAAAGAGAAAGAAGAGGAGAATGTGGTCAGTGGCCCCCAAGAGGGTCACGTGTCTCTCACTCGCAGTGTTCAGATGTGTTTTACCGTGGACTTAGAAAGCTTGTTAACAGGGCCACTTGGAGAATTTCCTCTTGTTAAGGCCACTTTGTTCTGGGAATGGGGTAGTTCCCACCTGTAGGCCACCTGCCATGAGCTTAGGATGGCTTATTCACACCTGCAGGCTGCCTGCCATGAGCTAGAGATGGCCTATTCACACCTGCAGGCTGCCAGTCATGAGCTGGGGATGGCCTATTCATGCCTGCAGACTGCCTGCCATGATCTGGGAATGACCAATCCACGCCTGCAGACTGCCTGCCATGATCTGGGTATGGCCTATTCATGCCTGCAGACTGCCTGTCATGAGCTTAGGATGGCCTATTCATACCTGCAGGCTGCCTGCCATGAGCTAGAGATGGCCTATTCACACCTGTAGGCTGCCTGCCATGGGCTGGGGATGGGATGGCCTATTCCCACCTGCAGACTGCCTGCCATGTGCTGGGGATGGCCTATTCCCACCTGCAGACTGCCTGCCATGAGCTTCGGATGGTCTATTCCCACCTGCAGACTGCCTGCCATGTGCTAGGGATGGCCTATTCATACCTGTAGGCTGCCTGCCATGGGCTGGGGATGGGATGGCCTATTCCCACCTGCAGACTGCCTGCCGTGTGCTGGGGATGGCCTATTCCCACCTGCAGACTGCCTGCCATATGCTGTGCTATTTTCCAGGATGCAAATGCAGATGCTGGCTCGAGAAAGGGGGATGAGGAGAATGAACACAAAAAGCAGAGGAGCATTCCCATTGGAACAAAGATCTGTGAATTCTATAACGCGCCCATTGTCAAGTTCTGGTTTTACACAGTAAGGCTCTCTCTGACGATTGCCCTTGGTCACGTGGGGAATACTGAGCTACACCAGAATCAAGAAAAAGTTCAAAGCTTCAAAAAATGTCCAAAGGTTCATTAAGATAAAATGAGTCATAGACCAAAACTAGGACTAATTGAGAGCTTTAAAATTAGATCCCGATACATTGTCATCCATATTTTGTATATTCAGGAATATTGGCCATCCCAGCCCACATGACCACTTCATGAAGCAAAATAGACATATTCTACTTGCTTAAGAGAAAGGATTTTTAAAATGCTTTTAGTAGTTGAAACTAAGGGAAGTTTTATTTGGCTTTAAAATAAACAAAAAATGGGGGCTGGGGAGATGGTTCAGCAAGTAAGAGCACTGTTTGCCCTACCAGAGGTCCCAGGTTCAATTCCCAGCACCCACATGGTGATTCGCAACTGTCTGTAACTGCAGTTCCAGGGGATCCAACACCTTCTTCTGGTTTCCATGGGCACATGGTACCCAAACCAGCAAGCAAAAATACCCATACACATACATTTTTTTAAAATAAATGTAAAAATGTTCTTCAATAAAAGTGACTAGTGGATTAAAGAACCAACTCACAGATCCCATTTTTTCCACTAAAATGACATGGTTATTGAAAGGATATAGCTTGTGTCAGCATTCTATTGCTATAAACCACACCCCCCCCCCAACTGATCAACTAATAAAGAGAAGAGGGTTCCATCTGCTCATGGTTCTGATGATTCAGTCCACAGTCAGTCGGTAACCTGTGGTAAGGTAGCACATCACAGCTGGGAGGCAGCAGCAGAGCAGAACCACACTTCTCACAGACAGGAAATAAAACGGAAAGTAGAAGGAAGGGACTAGAGTCCCAAGGTTACCTTCAAAGGCCCACCCCCACCGGCCTCCCCCCAGGTCCCAGCTCCTAAAGGCTGCACCACAGCCCCGGGAACACATGGGCCAGTGGGAGCATTTCCAGTAGAAACAATAGCAAGGCTGAACCCAGACACACACTTCGAAGGGCCGCAAAGACTTTCTTCTCTAAAGCCTTCACCAAACAGATGTGCTGGGCGATAGCGGGCCGTTCTCCAGCCTTAGAGCGGTACTCCTCCGAGAACGTGGCTCCCTGGAAGCAAGAGCAGGATAGGACACAAGACCACATTGGAGCATCCTTTAGATGGAACAGGCTTACCTACATGCAGTCCCAGAGTCGTGCCCAGGAGTACTATAGCTTGGTCACAGCGCCGTTTTTAGAGAGTCAGCGGCAGAGAGGCATGTAGATGTAACCAACGGTCTTATCAAATAAGAAACACAGAGCCGATTCAGAGAAGAAAGCCAAGAGGTCAGAGCTAAGAGCCTCACCCTTCCTGATTCAGGGATCCTCTTCAGCCAAGAGAGCTCTCCGCCAGGGACCTACTTCCTGTGTGTATGTCTTTATATACTCTAGCTGTTCTGCCTTCTCATTGGTTGTAAACCCAAACATGTGACTGCCTCGTCACTGCCTGTATGTACCGTCCTCCAGGTCCTTAAAGGCATGCGCCACCGCCGGCATGCACTTGCTATGGCTCTAATAGCTCTGACCCCCAGGCAACTTTATTTATTAACATACAATTAAAATCACATTTCAGTACAAGTAAAATACCACCACAGAGGCAGCTATACCCTTTCCCATATTCCTCACCTCTTCCCCACCCCAATTCCATTCCTTTCCTTGTCAAAAGGATCATTTGTTATGGCCGCCACAGAAAATCACAGACCTGTCACTGGAAAGTGGGGGGACTCTTAGGCTGGCACTGTGGGCCTCAGAAGACAATTCACCCACAGGTTCTCTCTTCTATACTCTTGGTTGTCCTTCTGCAATGGAAGATTAAAGAACCAGCTGTGAAAGGCAGGAAGGCTAAGTCACCTTTGCCTTTTTTTCCCAGAATGTAGAAGACACACCAGCAAATTACCAAAAAGGTCCTTTGTATATTATGATTCTTGCAACTTCATAACAAAGAGATGGCGGAGCATGGACTGTTAGCGCCTGCATTACACCGAAGTTGTAGGGCACCCCCAGCCTACCTCAGTTTCTGCACTGGTGATGTCAGGGGAGGAAGGGTACCCACTAAGTCTATGAGAAGAAGAGAATCCCTTGTGGATGAAGCCCTGAATGTTATCCCTGAGACACGACCACAAGCTTTTCTTCTTCTTCAGATCTCCTACCTGGGCTACCTGCTGCTCTTTAACTATGTCATCCTGGTTCGGATGGACGGATGGCCCTCCCCTCAAGAGTGGATTGTCATCTCCTACATTGTGAGCCTGGCGTTAGAGAAAATACGAGAGGTGATTATTGAAGAGGCCACTCCCAGCCCACTAACTGCTGAGTTCCAATTCAGACTGTATTAATGCAGAGTTGTGTGCAGATGGTGGCTGCCCTAGGACCCTCCCTGTGAGGCATCACCGTCCCAAGTCATTCTATTCACTTGCTTCGGATGTATACACCTCCTCTGACTGTCTTTGAACTTACAGTTCAAAACACAAAGCAGCAGAAACGACACTTGATAATGAAAACAGGTTTGAGTGTGTGGAAGAGCTGTAGGGAATGCTGCCAGCTACTTGAGATAAGCCAGGAAGTACAAGTGGGCTGTCTTCTGGGACCTGAGATTAAAACTGAAGGAATACATATGATGGCAACGTGTGTGTGTGTGTGTGTGTGTGTGTGTGTGTGTGTGTGTGTGTGTGTGTGTGTGTATGTATACGTGCGTGCATGAATGCACCCATCCTTGTGAGTACACTTGCCCATGCTGGTGCAGGTTAGCTTCATTCCATCATTCCTCTACCTTCATGTTTGAAGCAGGGTCTCTTAATGAGGCTGAAACTCACTGTTTTGGCTAGAGTGGCTGGTGAGAAAGTCGGGATTCCTCTGTCTCTGCAACGCCCTCCACCCCCATCATTGCCCCCAACCACAGCGTTGGGCTCATAGGCACACACCACTATGTCCAGATTTTATGTGAGTTCCAGACATCTAAGCTCGGGGCCTCAGACTTGTCCAAAAGGCACACCTCCCCAGCCTCTGGAACGCATTTTTGCTATAACTTGGGACTTAGCATCACACAATGCACTTGCACAGCTGGTCTCTTGTTCCAGAGTGCATGGAGGAAGAATTCTTGGTGAGAGGGAACAGGGGAAGGAGCCAGAGGAGAAGGAGCTGAATGAGGTGTGGCTTCAGAAAGAGACTGTTCTCTGTGTAATCCCATAAGTGACCCACCCTGAAAGAGAGAGAGGAGTTTCATACCCACACCAGTGTTTGGCACCCAGCACAGCAGTGATGCCAATTACCCAAGGGCAGGCCTCCCAGAAAGGGGCAGGTGTGGGCCTCACAGCAGCACCTGCAGCAGATGGGTGGCAAGCCCACCTGGTGAGAGGCTCCAGGGAAGCTGGGCTGGGCCCAGAGCATCTGCCGCAAACAGAGGGGTCCAGATTTTAAAGGAAGTGCTGAAAAAGAACACACTCTCACGCATGACACCTATCACCGAGGTCTTTTATTTAAAATGGAAAGCCAAGAGGCAGTTTCTTCAGGCAGAAAAAAAAAATGCTACCTGGGATGGGCTGTCACCCACAGGCCCGAAATTACTACATTCACTCATAAACAACAAGTTTTTATCTGGGCAGAGCATGGACTTACAGTGAAGAAACACACAGCACAGATCGCTGACCTCTACCCAATGGACACAGAGCTCATAACTCTATTTTGTAATTACTATTGACCACATCCAGTAGAGTAAGTTTGATGTCGTCAGTCAAGTGACAGCTGAGCAGTCAAGAGTGTCGTGAATACACTCTACACCACACCCTCTTCCACGACGCCTATTGCCTCTCTAGCTGGCCTCCGTTAGATTTCCATGGCTTTTACATCCAGGGCTTCCCAAGGTGCATGTCTTACTTACCTTTACATAATGGGGGGAGGGCACATGCAGGGGTCGGAGGACAATTTGGGGAAGCCAGTTTGGTCCCTCTACCTTTATGTGGGTCCCAGGTGATCAAACTCAGGTCACTAGAAATGTATGGCCAGTGCCTTTATCCCTTGAGCCATCTTGCTGACCCTTTGTCAAGATCTAGATCCTGCCTATAGTTATAGGAGAGGTGGGACAGCTGTCAGTCATACGGCTTGCTGAGCCAGTGAGCCCTTCTGGATTAATTGATAGACAGCTAATACCCCACTGGCCCTCGGACTCTGGGATCTCCCCATGATTTTCAGAGCTGAAGGGGTACCCTGACCTGGCTGCCTTGCCCTGTTTGGCCGCCATGTGCCTGTCATGACTGTAAGTGCATGACTGTGCATACTGCTGGCCGAATAGTTTCCACTTGACTCTGTGGAAGTGTCCTTTTCATCAGTGGTGATGCAAAAGGATAATATCTCGAGCAGGAGGGAAAATCTGCTTCAACTTTCTCTGACTTCTCACGTCTAACTTGAGAAGGAATTTTGGCAAGTCTGTGTTTCCCAGCCCCATCCAGCCATCTCCTCCAGGTGGGTCGTCCCTCTGTGGTAACAGAGAACTTGTTCCTGCTCTAGAGTTTTCCTTCTTTACAGTTCTGGAATGTGAGCCAACAGGCATGAGTCCAGATAATTAAAAAGGGAATCAAAAGGCAGCTGCTCTAATTACAGTCAGAAGGAGACAATTTGGAAGGCATTTCCTGAGTCTACGAAAGCCCTGAATCTAAGAATACAGAGGATTCCATGGAATTTCCCCCTCTAGTTCCATATCATATTCCCCCTCTAGTTATACCCTCTGCCTGAGAAATCGATGTGCAGAGATCTTGAGCCACAAAGGGCCCAGATGCCCTAGAATTCCCAGCACTCTTGTCTTTCCTAGATTCTAATGAAGATGGGGTTTCTGATAGGTCCCCCTCAACTTACTGCTCTTCGGGGTTTACTTTCAGATCCTCATGTCGGAACCAGGCAAACTCAGCCAGAAAATCAAAGTGTGGCTTCAGGAGTACTGGAACATCACAGACCTTGTGGCCATTTCTATGTTCATGGTTGGGGCAATCCTCCGCCTCCAGAACCAGCCATACATGGGCTATGGCCGGGTCATCTACTGTGTGGACATCATCCTCTGGTACATCCGAGTGTTAGACATCTTTGGTGTCAACAAATACCTTGGTCCCTACGTGATGATGATTGGAAAGATGGTTAGTAACAACTCCCCATGAGTAACCAGATACTTGTCTGGCATTAGAACACTGGACCAGGCTTGGGTGTGGCTTCCTTTGATTTCATTTGGTCTTTCCTTTGCAGCTGGTTTAACATGTACAGTTGCCCTGCGTGTTGACATCTTAATAAATTCCAACAGGAAACCATGAGTTGAAGATTCCTATACATACACCCTTATATAGACATTTATCTATTACTGTGTACTAGGGACTGAATGTATGACGTAGTCCTTCTTCCATATCATATTTAAACTGTAGGATGATCAATTGCATTTATCAAATTTGTTCTGATTTTGTACTGAATATATTTTGATAGCAAGAGAAAAGAAAACATCCTCCACTTTTTTTAAAAAGAATTTGTTTTGCTGTCCCAGGATATAAGAGAGCCTAAGTTTCTTAGATGTAGTAAGAGTTCAGTAGCAGGAACCTGGAGAGATGACACAGAGGTTAAGAGCACTGGCTGCTTCAGTTCCCAGCACCCACATGGTGGCTCATGACCATCTATAACTCCAGTACCAGGGGATCCAACACTCTCTTCTGGCTTCTGAGTGCACTGTGTGCATACATTGCATAGACATACATACAGGCAAAGTACCCATACCCAAAAAATATAATATTTAAAATTTTTAAAAAATAATTCATCAGCAATAGTTGTATCTCAATCTACTTGCTCTGCTCTTAGGGGGCTGAAACCATCATAGAAATTATTATTTTTTTGGTGGGGGGTTGAGACAGGGTTTTTCTGTGTAGCTTTGGAGCCTTTCCTGGAACTCACTCTGTAAACCAGGCTGGACTCGAACTCACAGAGATCCACCTGCCTCTGCCTCCCGAGTGCTGGGATTAAAGGCATGTGCCACCACCACCCGGCTAGAAATTCTTCACAGTAGGATTTGGATTTCGTGTGTTGTGAAGTTTCATCCATTTCAGAATGCTTTCACAATAAAATTCAGATTGGTAACTTCCTAGCCTCTGGCAGAAGCCAGTGACAATGGGGACCAAGGCTGGCCCTGCCTGTAATCCAACAGACTTTGGCTCATATGCTCTGGTGTGGGATGGTGGACATATGTTCTTTGTGTGATTAGTTTGAGACACATCCATGTGACATTTATTATAGAACAGGCTACAGAATGTGATACTAACCATGACCCAGCAAGTTGTCCCTACATTATAAAATGGTTTGTGTTAGGACTAGTCTCAGAAGAAAGCCAACCTTCTAAGTTATGCAATAATCAAGTAAGAGGATAATAATAGAATAATAATTATCATTTAAAATACTTTAATAGAAGTGTATTTGAGCTACAGGACATATGGTTTAGTTAATTCCAGTAAGTACCTTCATACTCAGGGATATTCAAAATTAGAGATTATAGGAGCTAGAGAGATGGCTCAATGATTAAGAGCACTGGCTGTTCTTCCAGAGAACATGAGTTCACTCGGTTCCCAGAAGCCATATGTTGGCCACAACTGTCTGTACCTCCAGTCTCAAGTGATCTGACACCTTCTGCAGGCACCGCATACATGCGGTGGAGACAGACTTGTAGGCAAAGCACCCACACACATAAAAAGGGGAGTTTGTTTAAATTGGGGGTTACAGTAGTGTAGCACTGGCAATAGAGTTCAGTTCCTGCCTAGAACATATGTACTGATAGCACTCCAAAAAGGGGGGAAGTGGGAGTTATATTGGTTTAGCATCAGGACCACTGGCCACTCAGCATTCATGTAGTAAGTGGAGATTAGCGTGTTTTCACAGTTCTTCATGTCTTTGTTTCCAAGAAAACGTCTCTCTTGCTGTCGTTCCTAGAAACTCCCATGTTTTCTTATGAGACCTCCCTTCCTCTATTCACTTTCATGTGTAAGACAGGATCTTAAGACATAGCCTTGACTGGCCTGGTAATCAGCATGTAGACCAGGCTGACCTCAAATTCACAAAACACTCCCTGCCTCTGCCTCCCAAGTGCTGATATTAGAGATGTGTGCCAGAACGGCCAGCCCTTTCTCTATTTCCAGTTACAATTACCAGAAGAACATCTGTGTATGGGTGTGTCAGTTAGCTTTTTTGTCACCATAATAAAATACAACCTGTAAAAGAAAATGTCTAGTATAGCTCTCCGTCATGGTTGGCTGAGCCTGTTGCTTTGGGTGTGTGTCAAGGAGGCGCCTCATGGTAAGAGTACATGTTGGAGCAAGCATGCTTACAGCTTAAGGCAAGGAGGAATGAGAGGAAGGAGATGGGGTCCAACAATCCTCCTGATGACTTAAGGACCTCCCACAAAGCCATACCTCTCAAAGGTTCCATCTCCATCCTGGGGACCAATAGCGTCAACCTGAAAACTAAACCTTCAACACATGGCCTTTAGTGAGGGATAGTCTAGATGCGAACTAGAAACATGATTCAAAAACCTTTGGTGACGGGCATTCTAGAACTGAACTAGAGCAATGGACAGCAATAACAGAGAAGCAAGAAAGATCCCAAGCAGATGAAGGCAGCAGAGTTCTGGAATAAGACACATGCTTTACATGGGGTATAAAAAGCTACCAGGGGCTGGAGAGATGGCTCAGTGGTTAAGAGCACTGGCAGCTCTTCCAGAGGTCCTGAGTTCAATTCCCAGCAACCACATGGTGGCTCACAACCATCTGTAATGGGATCTGGTGCCCTCTTCGTGAATGCAGGAGTATATGAAGCCAGAATATATACTGTACAATAAATAAATAAATAAATCTTTAAAAAAAAAAAAAGCTACCAGCCTGTGGATGAGAAGGGAAGATGGGAAAGAAGCTTTCTTTATCATAATTAAAGTGACATCTTTGAGGAGCACAAATAGGTTGAGCCAAGGTGAACTTGGTCCACGAGTCCATATTGTAAGATGCGTGTTCTTCCTACACAGATGATTGACATGCTGTACTTTGTGGTCATCATGCTGGTTGTGCTGATGAGTTTTGGAGTAGCTCGCCAAGCCATCTTGCACCCAGAGGAGAAGCCTTCTTGGAAACTGGCCCGAAACATCTTCTACATGCCCTATTGGATGATCTACGGAGAGGTGTTTGCAGACCAGATAGACCGTAAGACTAGAATTCATAGTAAGATTCTCTTCCCTGTTTCCAGGGCAGATGATCAGTTAGTTCCAAGTTAATGGAAGAGCATCCATTAATTTGGAAGTAAAGTATTTTTCATTCTGCCACAGGCAATGGATTATTTTATGAAAAAATAAGCACAGACTGTGAAGTGTGTTTCTTTTTCTCTAAAAGCCACTCTAGAATTCTGAGTCTCACTTCCCTTGAGTGGTTGGGCCTTACATCACATGATGTAGCCCCATACACTAATTTGTCTTCAAACCAGATATCTTCCTCCCACCCAAAGAAAAAGAAGGTAGGGTTAGTCCACGAAGCAGTGTGCACAGCAGGGTGACAGATACCTGACATGGTCCTTTTCTTCACATCATCACACTGTTTCCCATACAGCCCTCTATTTCCTCTTCACCACCAGTGTTCTTCTTAAAAACGTATTCATCATTTACTTATTTTCAACTGACACATGATTTTACAAATTTACAGTGTGACTATCCAATGCACATATACAGGAGTGCCAGTTTTTTATTCTCAATAATAACCTAGGATTAGCAGAGGAAGGATGTTGCAAGCGAGGATGGGCTGTAAGCCCCAGTGCCTCTTCAGGCGAGCTGGTAGGTGGCAGTGCCTCTGTGGTGTAGGGTGTGAAGTTCGAGTGTCCCTGTGTGCATGACACCGGGACACTTCCGACTCTGATGAACCAGGGACCTCAGTCCTATTTCCATGCAGTGACCACATCTTGTCCCTCACACGTTGCCATGAAGCACCAAGTCCGAGCGTCCCTGCCGCCTGCAGAGTTCTGCTCTTTGGAAACAGAAGGTGGAGAACACTCTCCTCTCATGTGAAATCCAAAGTTGTCAGTACATCTGCTGCTGCAGAGTTGGACTAATAACTTCTTTGTAGGTTTTAAAGACATCATTATTACAAATGTTACAAAATTAACCACTTACTGTAGCTTTGTAAATCAAAACATCAAAATCTAATTTGGTTTCAAATTAGATTAAGTAAACATATATATCATTCTAGTTTTTCTATTGTGTTTTACTTAGCATACAAAACAATGGGCTTCATTATGACATTTTCACATCACATGTCATTGTATCTTTCTGTTATTTATCTCTCTCCCAGTATCCTCTCTGTCCTTATTCCTCTCTTTTATTGGCCCCTTCCTGCCTTCAAATAGCCTCATTTCTGCTTTGCTATTACATATATGTGTGTGCGTATTTAACACACACACACACACACACACACACACACACACACACACACACATACATAAAATTTGGACTCTACATAAGAGAGAAAATGTATTTTATCTTCCTCCATTATCCCTTTTGCTCCTCTTCCCTTATGTCATGAAGATGGGGTGAAGGATGGGCTACAAAACGCCATTCTCTAGACTCAATACAACTCTTACAATCAACATCTCACAACAACTGTAGTTACTTGCATGGGGACCACACCAGACCAGGACTACCAACAAGTCAAGGAAATGAGGGGTGTTCACAATGCCCTACCCTTTACCTCTGAACTACTGGCTATCAATAGACTCTGGGAAAGGGGGAGAATCTTTGCCTATAGTTGTGTTCTCTGCTGAGCCCACCAGACTCCAAAGATTAGCTCCAAACTCGTGGGCACATGAGTGGTCCTGATTACTCTAAGTGGGTCACAAAACCAATGAATAGTCACGAATAAGAGAGAGAGATTTGTGTGGAGGAGGAGAGGTTGACAGAGGAGATAGGAAGGTAGGAATGAAAGTGGTTGGTACAACTTGTATACATGTGAGAAATTGGTCTAAAACCAAATTTAATTAAACATATATTTAAAGCAAAAAGACAGAAGTTTCTGACTACAGACATAGCTGTGGTATTTTTATTGTTCATGGTTTTAATCACACTGGTTCATGAGGGATGATAACGAGGTAAACAAAAGACTATACTTTTTCAGTAACATCATTAAGTATGGGTTTTCAGCTCTTCATCTGCCTGCTTCACCGTACCTTTGTATTTATTTGTGCTGCTGAGGTGTTTGTGGCAGGATCCAGGGATGCTTGATGGTCACACTCAACAGTTCTAAGGATCTTCTGCAACAACATCGTGTTTTTCCAGAGCTTAACCCTGGAGCTTGAACTGTTGCTTAAAGACATACATTTAGATGAATATTCACAAAATCTGTTTCTCAGAATTAATAATGGGTACATTCATTCTAAGCAGGCTTGAGTCTTTGCCTGCCTTAGCAGTGTTGGTAAATTGTTTTATGCTCCTCTCACTCATTATCTTGTTTTCTTTCCTCGCCTCCTGGGACAATTGAAAAACAAAACACACTCCTCATATCCAATGATTGTCTAGTGTACGCCATGGAAATTAACCGTAAGTTCACGTGGAATTGGTGGGGTGGGTTTGAGAAGGGTTGTCTTGAGTAATCTTTTTCCTCAACTGATTACTGATAGTCTTATACTAGTTTTAAATCTGTCTTCAATTTTCTGAGGCTAGTACTTTTTTAAACTGCAAATAAAAAGTAAGCAGACTGTAAGACCATCCTATCTTGCCTGCTTTGGGAAATAGGTCTCCTATGTGAACAGAAAGGAAAGGACTCATTTTCAAACACAACTCCATAGTTGATCTGAGAGCCTGTCAGGGACCCCTACCCCACACCTGAAACCAAAAGCATTTTCAGAGTTAATGTACAATGAAAGCAAGGAAATCACAAGAAGATAGCATAAGCTAATGGCAAACAGAGTAAGCTTCTAATAGACAACATAGGAAGACACAATAATGGTAAATGGGTCTGTTTAATCATCATTTAAGAACTGATGATATATATATATATATATATATATAATTTAAGAACTGATGATATATATATATTCAGCGTAGCTCAATTGTAGAATGCCTGCCTAGCATGCACAAGACCCTGTGTTCATTTTCCCCGGTACTACCAAACAAATGAACAAGGTTTCTAAACATAGCAAGGGGGTAGGGTGGTAAGAAAATGGAAAATGTTTTCAAACACAACAAGCTCACTATAACCATCTCAGAGTGAAAATATAAATTGTATTACCTTCTTTATATGATTTGATATTTTTGCTTAGAAAATTATTGCTTATGAAATACAAAAGTCAAATGAAGTCAAGTTGGGGGGGGTGCATAACCATAATAACGGCGCTTGAGGCCAGAGGATCTCAAATGTGTAAGCCAGCCTGGGCCACATAGTAAGACTTGTCTCAAACAAAACAGGGCTGGGGAGATGGCTCAGTGGGTAAAGTGCTTGCTGTGAGAGCATGAGGACCTGAGTTCTAGTCCCTAGATCCCATGTGAAAAAGCAAGGTGAAGCCACACACACTAGACAGGAAGACCCCTGGGGCTTGCTGGTTCCTGTGTAGCCAAAATAGCAAACCGCAGCTTCAGAGAGAGACCTTGCCTCAAAAAGTAAGGTGGAGAGCATCTGGGCTCTACATTACAGACACACAGATGTGCATACACAGACACGTATGGATTCAACCCCAAAGAAAAAAGATTACTCAAAACACATATACTAGATATTTGTCCTTTTCATTACATATATAAAACAAGCCCCCCCCAACAAACTTTTCTTGCAGCTCCTTGTGGTGAAAATCTCTATGATGAGGAAGGCAAGCGACTCCCTCCCTGCATCCCTGGTGCCTGGCTCACACCTGCCCTCATGGCCTGTTATCTCCTGGTGGCCAACATCCTGCTGGTCAACCTACTGATTGCTGTTTTCAAGTATGTATCATGACAGAGTGTGACAGAGGCCTGGTGGCTGCTGTTCATTGCTCTACAGATCTCCAATTCAGGGTCAGAAAGTTATGGGGATTCTTGCATATATGTTCAGAGAAATGTGCTAAAGCTTTTTAAAGTGATGGGTGTTTGCAGTCGTTTTGCTCAACTGTAATCAGTCTTGATGTAGTCAGCTCTTAAATATATTTAAATTTAATCTGGGCTAGTATTTTAACACTGAAGCACACATTTTAATCTAATGAAAATATTTTCTTAGGCAGAAGTCTCCTGAGTGAGAGGAGATTTGAGCAAGTTGTACTTTTCATTCACTACCAGAAACACAAAAATACTAACTTCACAAGCCGTTGTGGTTATTTTATATATAAAATATCAAATCTTATCAGTCAGGGCTATAGAGTGGCTGAAATTACTAAATCAAGTGTTTATAAAACTGCCCATTTGACGTGCATTGAGTATGTTGACAATACTTTAAAATGATGAAAAAATTCTAAGATGGATTTGGGAAATAGAGGCAAGGGGATCAAGGAGTTCAAAGTCATCCTCAACCATTCAGCAAGTTCAAAACCAGCTTGGGCTACATGAGACCCTGTGTCAAAAAACAAAACACAAAAACAAAGCATCTGCCAAATTGAGGCATATGAAGAAAAATTCTCCCTAGAATTGTGAAGTCATACCATATAACAAGACAAGGCTCCAGCTGCGGTATCTAGACAATAATGGGCTTTCTTAAAGCCCCAGTGCTAACAGACCGTACAATCATGCACTGACTGACTCCTGCAGCTAAATTATGACAAAGATTGCACTTACCCACATCCAAAACAGTGCACCTTCAACCAAATAAGCTCAGTAATTAATCAGCCACTCATCTACAAAGTACAAAAGCAAGTCATCTAGTCTTTTAAATGGAAAGTTTCAACTCTTCAAAGCACCTTTAAAATATGAAATAACACACTGAGCATATTAATCCGCAGAGTCTGGTGTGAATTTTCAAGAAAACAGTGTAAACCAAAATTCAACATACTTGATATTTTTGAGCATAGATAATCCACACTGATGGATAAGGCAAAAAGTCAGGTGATTAAGGAATCTGCCTCAGTGAGGTTGTATTAAGTCCATCTCATGATGTATTTTCATTTAAATCTAAGTAACAGATAGCCCCAAGTTACAATAGAAACTAACTGTAAAACTGCCTTCTTTTAAAGCAACACCTTCTTTGAAGTAAAGTCAATATCTAATCAAGTGTGGAAGTTCCAGCGATACCAACTGATCATGACATTTCATGACAGGCCAGTCCTGCCCCCGCCAATGATCATTTTAAGCCACATCTATATCATCATTATGCGCCTCAGTGGTCGCTGCAGAAAAAAAAGAGAAGGGGACCAGGAGGAACGGGACCGTGGATTGAGTACGTTGGGGATTCTTCACTTCTATTTGTGGGCTAATTTAAAGAAAAAAAAAAGGTACTAAATAGACACTTTCATTGCAGCCTCAGCAAAATACTGAGGTGTGTGAAAAACACAACAGTCCAACTGCTGAGCATTTTAGAATTTTTGTTTCTTGCTTTCTGTGTATTCTAGCTTTGCTCACATATAGTGTAATCAATTCGGTAAAAAGCCAACTCATGGAGACCAGAGACTGAAAGCTTGCAAAATCCTTCTTATATACACCTCCATATGCTTCAAGACCCTTTTAAATGTATTAATGTGTTCCATCTAAAGAGGGTAAGAAAAGCCGCATGAGCGGTGACTGCCCATGCAATAATGTGCAAAATGTTTTCTGGGAAACCTTTTTGCTTTCCAGACAGATGCCATTCACTTTTGTTTTTCATTAAAAAGTGATCCATTTTGCTCTGATAGCATTTGGAATGCTGCGTGAGATAGTCTTTCTTTTTGGAGAGGCGTGAGGGGCTAACAACTACTTGAAGTAATCAAGAAACTGCCTATCCGTGGTGTAGAACTAAAGCTTAATCAAAGGCTGACTATAAAATTCTCAGTCACACAGCTAAAGCGATTCTTCTAAAAGCGATCCTCACGTGCCCGGCACTTCTCCCCTACACAGAGCTGTTCCTCAGTGATGACGAGTTGAAGAAACTGCATGAGTTTGAGGAGCAGTGCGTGCAGGAGCACTTCCGGGAAAAGGAGGATGAGCAGCAGTCGTCCAGTGACGAGCGCATCCGGGTCACGTGCGAGAGGTGCGCCAAGTTCTGCACCCCAGTCTACACGGGGTGTTCATTTCAAACCACTTCTTGGTTTTTTGGCTAAGATCACATGTAGTTGCTCAGAATTCTCCTGCATTTTAAACTGTGTTTTAAAAAGTCACCTTTCCCCCACCTCTGCAAGAGTGATGCAAATTGTATACAAAAGTGGGAAATAACGTTTGTTTCAAATAATCAGGCAGGAAAGAAAATATACTTCGTCAAGTGGAGTATTTACCTCAAATCCTATATCAGCTACAGAAAACCACCATAAAATCCCTGCCTCTATCCCTTTACCAAGCCCGGTGGCCCGCCAGGGACTGAGCTCCTCATCCTGCCTGTATGCACAGTTCCTTGCCGCTGCCGTGAAGTCCAGAGAAAAGGTTCCCACCTCTGGTACAGCATGAAGAGTGAGATCTGGGAGGGCTGAGGTAAAGAGTGGGTGTCCCTTTCCCTTAATCTTCTGAGTTAGGCAGGATCTGTCCTGTAGACAGAGAAATCAGCATGATACTGGTTAACCATGGATGGATGGGCAGACCGACGGGTGGGTGGATGGATGAATAAATCAATGAATGTTTCGATGAAGGAAAGTCAAGGGGAAGACAAAGGTAGGAGTATGCCAGTCTGATGTATTCCCTAAACTGGGAATAAGTAGCCCACAAAGAAATGTTAGGCAGGAACAACAAACTCTTTCTATTTACATTTTTTTCAAATCAGAATTATTGGGACGCTTTATTGCTTAGGAAAGGCAATGTGAGCTTGTTCAGATCTTGCTATTATGTTGTTCCTGAGAATCCCACTAACCGTGGGTAGAAACAGATGCAGGAAACACGTCTAAGCAGGGTCTAGCCCATCCTATATCCATGAGCACTTAGTAGTTTTCTGGTACAGATGTCAGCATATGCTGAGAAACACAAACACGATAGAATTTGAAAAGGGTTCTTCAGCCAGCCTTGACCAACCAAGCCCAACCACTGCTACAGAACTCAGACACATCTTCAAGCCTCTCTGGAGCGTGCAAGGCCATTGACTGTGCCCCAGCAACATCTGGTCCCTGGCCCCTCCTAACCCAAGTCACCTTGTAATTCAACTAAACTCAACCAACTAAAGTCAAAGATTACCTGCACCAACACTCAGCCTTAATGAAGTACATTTTTAATAAGACTTTGAAATGCTCAATTGATGGGTTTGCAGTAGTTGCTAAGCTTCTAAAACATACGAATTATTTCTTCAAAATGTAGTGAGAAATTTTCCATTTGGGAATTAGACATTGACCTGAATATAATTGTAGTCAGCCATTCACAATGGAAATTGTGTTTGGTTTTGCTCTGAACTCTCTCCCTTCTCTCTTCCCGTAGCATTGTTTGGATTTTTATCATTCTTGGACCAGTGATTCAATGAATGTAGTTATCAGTGCACAACCAAGTTGCGCTTTTCTCTTGGGGCTCTGTGCACACGTAATAGGTATGAAAGTGTGCAGAGAATACAAACACACTATTTCCTGTTTTCTGAGGCCCCCACAAGAGAAGGGAACAAATTCCTGCTCCTCTACTTCCGTTTGCTGCTCCTTGCCAAGGCTGACTCACAGGTGAATGCTTTAGGCATTTAGGAGGAACGTTCTTCCCAATAACCAGACCACCAGAGGAGCAAGTGCCTCGGAGGCAGGGAAGGGATGCTCCTTGTCTGTACCTAATTTGGGGTACTTGTGGTTACTTTCAAAACAGATGTTCATGTGTTTGGAAGTTTCTGCTAATTCTTCCACCCCTTTAATCTCTCCAGTCAGTTCATTTCTGCCCTGTATTTGCTGTTTGATGACTGACTGCTCTTTCTCTCAGTGGCGTCTGCTTCAGCCACCAGGTGTGGGGTCAGGTCTGGCAAGGCATTCATCAGACTTTCTCTCACCTCTCGGTTGCCCAAGTGTCTTTGCAAACACACACTGGGAAGTCTCCTCACTGTCTCCCTGATGTGCTCACACAGGGCTTTGCACATTAGGCATTGCCCTCCACAAAGGGTCCGCTGAGCATGTGTGTCAAGGTGGGAACTCCACACATGGCTTCTTCCTAATGCTTGGAAATGAACACTAAGTTCTAGCACTTATTTTTGTTACCAAATGCCAATATTTTGTAACACCCAACGTTTAGGTCCTCAGTAAGAGATTTACAGTATGACTCACTTTTAGATAACATAGCCCTGGGTTGCAGCAAAGGGTTCAACTCAAAGCTCCACCCACAAGCCCACTGGATCTCAGAGTTCTCCCAGATATAGACGACCTCTCCTGGGCTCCAGCCTCCATAAATGGCACTACCATTCAGCCACTTCAACAAGGCAGAAATTGAATGTCACCATGATTCATGTTTCTTACCTTACTCTTCTTTGACTTCCTCAAAGCATTTGTCCTTTCTGACACAGGGGTTCTGCCCATGCCAATCCCTCTATCTGGTCCACCCACACTCCCCTTCCCTACTCATCCCTTGGATCTCTGCTCAAATGCCAATGCCATGTGAAAAAGTTCCCTGACCACCAAACACACGTAACTGGGTCAAGACCATTGAACCTTATGATATAGTCAGCATGTCTGGATTTTGTCCACCTAGATAATTCCACAGGGTATGAACAGAGTTTTATGAATGAATAAATGACTAAAAACTCATTCATTCTTGACTTGACTACAAATCTCTAATCTATTCTCAACCAGTTCCCTTGTGGAATTTGAGGCAGGTGATGGGATTCAACTATGCTCCCTCTGGGCTCAAATGTCTATGGTTTTCACTAGCCAAGCCTGTAATGGCAGACACTGATTCCCTAGAACCTTCTATACTAGAGCTTTTTTTTTTTCATAGACTTGTTCATGAATCTTGTTATACGGTCTTCTCTTTACTCATTTTATGTATTCTGATACTTCAAAATATACAGGACATAATGCGGGTCATAAAGTATGCATTTAGATGCAGTTGGTCCTGTACTAAAGAAGCTGTTGATCTTAAATGGTCTAATCCTTTAATAGCAGGTTCTGATTTCTCCCAGACCCTGTGAAGAGGTTTTCTGTCAGATTTGTGTATCTGAATTAAGGTTTTGGTTTTCCTGAAGACTTAGTGATTCTTATTAAGAATGGGAAAGGCAAAGGACCATACAATGCACAGCTCCCGGGACATTTGGTATCAGCTGGGCGTAGTGGCACATGCCTTTAATCCCAGCACTTGGGAACTAAGGCAGAAGAATCATTAGCTTAAAGTCATTCTAAGGTTTGTAATGAATTCTAGAGCAGCCTTAATTGTGTATCAAAATAAAAAGAACAGGAAGAGAAAGAGGAGGAGGAGAAAGAGAGGAGAGACATGGAGGGGAGAGAGGAGGGAAGGATGGAGAGGAGGGATACTCAATATTCGCAACACCAAAACAAGGGCTAATATTGGCAGGCATTGTCTCTTTCCTCAAATCACAACAGCAGCCAACCAAAAATTGGGGGCAGGAGACTATATAATAATATCCACCAGCAGGACAGATCAGAGCTCGTCACCTTGAACATTTCATCTTCATCATATGCATTAGTTAAGTTTCTTGTTGCTGTGATAAAATATCTAAACTTAAAGAAAGAAGGGTTTTATTTAGGATGGTAGTCTGAGGCTCATCATGGTGGGAAGGCATGTTGGCAGGAGTGTGTAGATGCCAGTCTCCCTGAATCCTTGGTGAGGATGCTGAGAGAGATGAATGCTGGTGCTCAGCTCACTGCTTTCTTCTTTCCACTATTCAGTCTGAGACCTCAGCCCATAGTTGGTGCCACCCACAATCAGGATAATTCTTCCTGGCTCAGTTAACCCTCTCTGGAAACACCCTTATATACACACAGGGTGTGTCTCCTAATTGATTCAAATCCAGTTGAATTGAAAATGAGATTATCACTTCCTGCTTAATGACTAGCTGGCAATGTGTATGGTTGGCGGTTGGAGTGCCAACATCTCCCCAATTTTTCTGCAAGTCTAGTGTGGAGTTCTCTTGCTGATTGCACCTCTACAGTGGGTCCACAGGGCCAACTGAGTTGGAAAGAATCTTTTCTGAAAAATATTTGTCAGAGATTTAACTTCTGATTTTTCAAAATCAAGAATTTTGTTATCCACCATGTTTATTCTGCCCATGTGGCTTCAAGGAATTCTAAAACTAAAACTTAATGTTTGAGTACAATAAATATATTAGTCTCTGCCTTAGAATACGTGATATATTTCTTCTTTTCCTTTCAAAATTATATTCTGCTGCCATTTGTATTATTTTGCTATGTAGTCCACCCTGGCCTCAAATTAATAGCTCCCTGCCTCAGTCTTCCAGTGCAGCACTTACATAAGTTTTATTATGTCTAATATCTCAAAATATACAGAATAGAGTTCACAAGTTACAAATTTTGAAAGCAACTGGCCCTGTCTCTGGAGAACTTTAGGCCTGGGCTAGCTAAACCTGTAACCATAGATTCTGGTCAGGGGGACTTTCTGTCAGATTCATGGATCTGGGTTAAGTCTTGGGTCTCCTGTAGGCTTGACAGGAAGCCAACAATCCATGGTGTTGAGATGTTATTTGGCATCCTTTTCTCATGTGACGGGGAAGAGGAGGTGCTGGTAAAGAGACCTCAACAAGGAGAAAAGATGGTAGCTAGAAGAGATCAATCTTAGAAAGATGTAGAGAGTGTAAGAAGACAAAACACACAGTAATGAGAAAGACATTTGGGACCAATTATATTCGAATGCTCTCATCTTACAGATTAATGGGAATCAAGGCTGCTTGGACAGAGAAAGGGATGGATTAAATGCTGAAGCCTTATGGGCTCAATGAATGACATTCTTACTCCTCATTTGACTTTGAGAGCTTGTTTTAGTCACAGTTTCTATTGCTGTGATAAAACACCATGACCAAAAGCAAGTTGGGAGGAAGAGTTTATTTGGCTTGCATATCCTGAGTCACAGTCCGTTGATGAAAGCCAAGGCAGGAACTCAAGGCAGGAATCTGGAAGCAGA